GTCCCAAAGGGCTTTCGTTGCTCTTCCTCCTAGGTTGCACCGGATGGTACACTTTGGGCCGACTAGCTTGACTAACCTGGAGCCCTGCTGGGTGAGTTGTGTTGACAATGCCATGAGGGCTACACTCTCTGGCACATCTCTTCGGTGTGGTGGTTTAGGTGAATGGGGTTGGGGTTGATCATTTGGAATTGTTGGGGATTGTTGTGAGGTCAGGGCAGTTACGCATCCCCTCCGCTCGCCCTGCTGCCGTTTCCCGACTGCTTGGTCTGTCTCCGTTGCTTGCAGCCCCTTCTGAAGTGCTCAGAGCTGCCACAGGAGAAGCAATGGTCACACTCTGGACCCTTCCCAGCTTGACGACAGCTATTGCAGCCCCATTCGCGTGATGGAGGGTTTCTGCTGCCGCCTTCACTGGACTTGGGCTTCTCAGCTGCTTGCTTGTTGGAAACTTTGAGAGCAGCCAAGTCTGCCTGAATTTGTTGAAGTTGCTTCATCAGGTCCAGCTGTTGCTTTTCCACGGCATTCACTTCCTGGACCTTCACGGCTGTCTTGGCCTTCTTCTGTTTGGCCAGTCTCACGATCTCCCTCCCTTCTGCAATCTTAAGTTGTCGAAAGAGAGATTCGTCTGAGGTGGTGGGGTCAAAGAGCAATGGCTTCAGCTCGCCTCGAATGTTGTCGTTTTGGAGACCAGTATTCAATGAGTGCAGAAACATGTTCTGCACCAGTCCAGGGTCATACTTGATGGTGGACTCCATCTTTGATGCCTTCAGGATCTTCTGTCGGAGGTCGAGGGTCCTCACCAAGAAATCGTGTGCTGACTCCGTACTCCCTTGCGAGGCAGACGAGAGTTCTTGGTACATTTCTGTGGCGTTCCCCTCTCTATAGTGCGCTTCAAGGATTTCCCGAAGGGTTGGCAAGGTTAGCCCCTCTTTGCTCTCCAGGTAGCTCCTCAAGCGCATGCCTGGGCTGATGGACCGGATGACAGCCTCTACAATCTCAACCTCCTTGTAGGATTTCCGCAAACCGCTTTCAATCTGCATGATGAGATTACTGTGGGAGAGCCGGTCCTTCTGACCAGGCTCCCCAACCTGGCCACTGATTCGAAACTCCTTCTTCAGTAGGCCAACCATTTGGTTCACTGGTAGGGCAGGGGGGCTGGGGGCCGGTTCCGCTGTGGATGTCGAGCTTGACTCTGGGGTGGCTGGGGGGTCTTTGGAGGCGCTTGACGTTCCTGGACTGATGGTCTTCAGGAAGTCACGAAGGTCTTCGAAGACCTTTTGACCTTTGTCCTCCATGTCTTCCATGGTCTCGCTGTTAAGGTGGCGGGTCAACCTCCGGATGAGGGCCAGGCGTGCGCTCTCCTTGCTGGCAGTGTGTTCATCAACACCCAGCTTCGTGCACACCTGCTGTAGTTGCTCCTCCTGCAGGCAGCCAATCTGGCTGACTACACTTTGCTGCAATGCTAGCAGGGCCTCCATCCTCTCGTCTGCTCCGTCCTCAACTGCGTCACTGAATCAGGTCAAGGTGTCTCCCTTCACTCCCGACGCCAACCGGTCGTCCTCACTGCCTCCTGCCGTTCCAGGGCACTATCTGCTGCCAGGGACGTTCACGAGGATAGCTGCCATGCAGTAATGCATTCACATGCATTTACCACGTCCTGGCAAGATCGCCAGATTTGTTACCCAGCTGTCATGTGGTAACGTTATTTCTATTGGGCAAAGACAAAAGAGAACACTGTTGTAAGTACGTCTGGTCACTTTGCCAAAATATGTGAAAGTGTTTATTCAAACATCATAATAAACAAACAATGTACAAGAAAAAGGTTAAGTCAGTTTCCTAAATAACAACACTTTAAATCAGTATGGCCAATACTATCAAACTTCAGGAGAAACATCACTTTAAAACTAAAGGCCAACTACATGTACTATCTAACCTACAGGGGAAACTTAACTTAATTATCATGGCCACAACTACCAGAACTCTTATCTGCCATGTCTTAAAGATAAACACACTACTCAGGCTGGCCAGCACCCTTGTTGCTATAGCAACAGACTTTCCACTGTATGGCTCAACTCCAGCCAAGTCAATGGCCTGGGGCATACTACTGCTCCCCCAGTGCTACCCTTACTGTGTGACAGGTGGTCTTTCCATACTACACACACAAGCAAGTCATTGTTCTAGCTAGCCTAATTAGTATTCACTCTCCACAACATGGCAAGGCCATGCTTCAGCTATACACTCGGTGCTTGCAATGGAAGTTTCCTTGGCTACATGGTGAAACTTGCATTCAATGTTAAAATCTACAAACACAGTTTACTATAAAACATACATGGTCCAGTTTCTTAAATGAATGAAATACAAATTATCAACTCCACAAACATTCACCAAACTTTCCTCAAATCCAGGAAACTTAGTGAAACTTTCCATGAATAACTGAAGTGAATAACTAAAGTAAAGTTGCTAAAAACTAATCAAACTTATATCATCTTAAATCTCATCCAAAGTTACAAAAAGTGAATATACAAACAATAATGGAAATATCTAAGCATCATAAAACAAACTTCAATCTTGTCAATCTCTAGATAACTTGGCAAAAGAGTAAACTTGACAAATTCAAAGAACAATTTACCTTCAACCAACTGATCAACTCAAGTCATTGATTGTATACTCCAAGTAAATGAAAATGTGAACAACAGAAATAAAGGAACCTAGATGTGAATAAAAAGAAAGAAACGTTTGTACATACCTATTGGGCAAAGACAAAAGAGAACACTGTTGTAAGTACGTCTGGTCACTTTGCCAAAATATGTGAAAGTGACTAGGCACACTCACATGCACTCTGTGTTGTCTTTGGCCAATTCCAATTTTTTATGGGGGTGTTACTTTCTACAAAAACTTCTTTCTGGAGGGGTTGTACTACAGAGGGGTTCTACACATTGAATGATGCAAGACGGATCCAGTGTGGATCAATGAAGCAGGATGGGATACAGCAAACTCAAGATTGCATAATTAGGAAGACATTTTTCATAGGGTATAAGTGACTCATCAGTCGTAGAAGTAGGGACCCTATGGGATCCGTGGACAAGTACCCCATCAATGGCCAGAAAAGGAGAGTTGGGGTGACGTAGACTGGTTCCCAATCCATCCACTGCGTATTTCAAATGTATCCAAAGTTATTGGAGGCGTCGAATAGTTTAATTTGAATGTATTTGCACGCCGACAATGCCTGACGCTCACGCAAAGACGCAGTGGCTATAACTTTTGCACATTCAGGAAGTCATGTGTACGAGCCAGTACAGTACGTGCAAGCTGCGAGTCCCGTCCACGGAGCTCTCAAAAGTGGTAAACACGCCCTCTTTTGTTGGTGCACGGAGTCCATATCTGTAGGTCAGTGGTGCTGCATCTCAGGTAGTGACCTTATAGGTATAGATGACTCACTGGTCTTGATGACTAAGAGTTGTGACTGCAGTAGGTCTTTAGATCACTGGTGCTGCACATTCAGAACCCAGGCTAGGGTGGTGGCTTGCCTGTTGAGTATCTCTTTCAGTGGCTGCTGTTCCGACTCAGTAGTCACATGTACCTAGACAAGAGGAAGGAGATGTGCTCCAAGAGCATTAACACAGCTTCGCCGCTCGAGAGTTTTTCTCTTGTAAACTACTCTCAGTGACTACTGACCGTGGCCACTGGCTGGCAATTTGAATCGGGCTCTTTTACACTGTCACTGGATTATACTTGGCTGCTAACACATACACACCACTGCCTGTCTTTCAGAGCATTGTCGAAAATTTACAATGCCAGCTCAAGGCTTTACTAAAAGCACACATTAACCATATTAAATGGAAAGACAAACTCCCACTCATCCTGGTAGGAATTTGTTCTGCAGTCAAACCAGACTTGGGCCATAGTCCAGCTGAAAATGTTTTTGGCACTATATACTCATTTGATCAGCCTGACAGTGGCCAAGTTTGGGCAAGGACCATTAGTCAACTAGTGGTTGATTTGTGGCGTACCTTAACGCCTGCGCACTGATAGCAATGTGTGAACGTCTCTAGTCAAACGCTGGTCAAAATGTCATCGCAAAACTTCTGGATCCTGGCTCTCTGCTAGCGTTATGAATGCGAGCAGCTATTGGTTACCAGCGATGCAACCAGCCCCAGTAAGTTGGTTCCATATAGTCGACTAGCGTAGTCAACCACTGTCGACTAGACAGAGTTCGGGCAAGCGTTAGTCGAACTATGATTAACCATTGGTCAACTATAGTCCATGCACGAACTTTGCTAGTTCTGCAGCTTAGTTCAACCCAGCAGACGTCGACTGGCTCATCAAGGCATCCATGTGTCAGCTCCATTCAATGCCGCCCCATCAACAACAACAGCGAGCGCTGTTCACATTCCAAAGGACACACACACTGAAATTCGTATTCTTGTGGAGACATTTCTTTGTTCTGGTGTAGTAAAGTTTTTCGAGTTTGAAAGTGAAGTTTCAAAATGCTCTTATTTTAACCAGAATTAATTTCCTTGGATGAAATTCGGACTTAATATCCGTTTTCTACAACTTTTCCATTTGTGATTAATTTTTGAGTAAAATCCATATATCTATTTCGTGAAAATCTTGTGGAGACGTATTCATCTATAGAAATTGCCCTGTGGAGACGTCTTTTGTTCCCTATTGTACACACGTCTCCAGAGGGCACGGTGTATCAGATCCTAACTACATGCATCCTTGTATTCGTGCATCATGATGGAGTACGCAAGCCCCGCCAACTACCCTATAATGGACCATAGAGGGTTATCAGCCTCACAACATTCAATGGTGGGGCTCCTGTCGTAGCCAGGACATTGTTGCAGCGCCCTCTTTATAAACAGCTCTGGGAACACTAAGGTCAACGTTCACTCACGTTTCTGTCACCTTCCATTCTGCGTGCCCGGCATTTCAGCACATGTGTGAAGTCATGTTCACTACCATAACTAATCTATATTGCAATATTTGCACATTCTTTGACAAGATAAGACCTGAGTAACTTTTTGCTCTCGAAACTCGTCAAAAGCCTGTTATCAGAACCACAAGAAGAGGAACAAGGGTTTCAGGTGAGCTAAAAACTTGTTCAATATACTTCAATACTTGCTTTTGCAACTTTCTTTGTGTGAATTATGGGTTACTTATAGATTCCTGCTACCCTTTGCTGTGAATATGGATATGATGCAAAGGAAATTAAATTTCAAAATTCTGTGTTTAAAACTTCTCCCTACAAATAGTTGTTCTCCCAACTTAATGGAGCCTCAAAAGCTACAAACGCCTGCACAAACATTAAAAAAAAACATCATAAACTGCATGTATGCAAGTATGCTTTTTTTTGTTAATTGAATTTCAGGTTTTCGTGCTCTTACCAAGAAGACGTTGCTGTTGATGCTGGAATGCCCTGAAACTGCACCACTTTGGGACGACATCAAACACCAGAGAAACTACATCCAAGGTGCCTTGGGCCAAGGTGGAATGTACTACTACTAGGCTGTTAAATGAGTAAAATAAAAGTTATATGGGCAATTCCATGCTGGTGGAGACACAAGACCAAAAAATACATTTGCCGTTTGTTCAAATTTGATTTGCTGAAGTGACACAATGTAAAGCTTGGCATTTTTAATACTGAAATATAGTTTCTTCCCATGCGCGCACAATTTTGTGAGTTACGGTACACCATCACATCAAAGTCTGCAATGACGTCCTGATATCTTATGGTAAGGAATTTGGAATTAGTCTTTTGCTATATTCAGTACTATTTTGTTCTCAATTTTGTTATGTTACCGTTTTGAAAATGGATTTTATTTTTTAGTTGTCAATTTTAGTCAGATTTTGCTTGTAAAAAGCGATACAAAGTTAATTTTTTTCTTTGTAAATACCTACATTTTCTGATCAGTGAATTATTCTGGTAAATTCTTCTTAGCACGATTTCTGGGAAGTGTATTAAAATAATAAATTTCTATTTACATTGTTGTTTTAATGCTTAGGCCAGCCATGATGTACGGTAATGTCGGCTGCACATCATGTTATGCAGTCACAATCTCTTAACATAATGTAGTGTCAGACATTATTACACAGTCCGTAGTTGAGGGGGAAAAAAATACATAATGTTATTTAAGATGGACTTAAGGGAATATACAACATTTGCTGTTGCTGTAATTTTCAAAAATTGATGGATTAGGGGATAACTATTTTTTAGCAAATATTGTTACACTGACTTGTATGAAGTTTTATGTTGGTAGATGCTGGAAAAACCAAGAAATACAATCATGTTTTTGTAGTCTAGTTCCCTGACCCCACTTGAGATGAAACAGAGCAATTTATAGATGTCAGGGAATCGTATAGGGTCAGGGAACCAGTCTAGCTGGCTTGTACCCGTTCATAGGTTTGTAATCAATTGCAAACAAAATGTGGACCAACTAAATATGGGGGCAGTATTTGAAAAAAGCCAGTTTTGTTCCAGCGCTGGTCGGCTTACCAGCGTTGGAAATTGATACAAAAATACAACTTCTCTTGAAAATGACAGCACACCAGGTGCCATGATTTTACAGGATGCTTGAGACTGGCCTTCACTTTGGTATTGCTAGAAAAATAGTAGTTAAAGTTGTGTAAGTATAAACATGTATACAAAAAAACCAAATAATTTTGTTGAAAATTTCATATTTTCCAGGAAAGATATACAACCAAGTAGAAACTTAATCACAGCAGCACAGAGAAGGGCACAGCAGAAACAAAACTTGGAGGAAAAGGATTGCATGAAGACCACAAGAGGAACAAATGAAAGAGGAATCAATGGAAACAGAACACAATACAAGCAGTTTAGTGTACATGAACAAAACTTTGAGAAAAAGCCGTTTCAATTCGGGCGATTCACGATGCAGTGTGCCAGCAAGAGGCATAGCGTTCTGCCGCCTTACCAAAAATCACCATATATGATCAAAAGAAAAGAAAAGGGCAAACATATACTCGTATCAAACGCTTACGAAACTATACTGACCGGAAAAACAAACAATTTCAAATGTCCCATGCTGTGAATTTGTCGACCATCTCCCACAACGCACTGGGGAAAATGAACTCTCTGTGGCAAACTCTTGGTGATGCACTGCATTGTGAATCGCCCGAATTGAGCTTGTAATTTGTTTTGCACATTGAGACCTCAAATTGCTATTAGCAAAGAAAATATGTATATGACATGTACTTAGGCAAGTCTATTCACACAGTTATTGTTAGGCCAAAAAAAATAATAAGTCGGTCTCTGGTCAGCGCGCGCGTCGATCTTTTTTTTTCCCAAAATGTTCCGCTGTAGCTCCAACAGCGCCCTCTATTGCCGCACCTCAATTTTTTTTATCAAAGAGCACCAAGGAATGGGAAATTGCACCAAGGCAAATGATCGAGAGCACCGAGGCAAATTATGGAGGACACCAATGTACATGAGGACACCAAAAATGCAAAATAGTACCCCACCTTGTCTGTACAATCCAAGCTTGAAGAAAAAGGAAAAAAAAAGCAAAAAAAAAAAAAAAGCTGCGTCCCCGCATCAATTCCGAAACTTCGGTCTGACCAGAGACCGAATTGTTTTTTTTTTTTGGCCTTATTGGAGACAACATTTAATATTGTAAGGTCATTTCTGAGAAATTTCTCACCTCATCTGCTTTGTTTATTTTTGAGGTGCTGACAGTATATAGGTTTTTGTATTTTTTTTTTTAAAGTACATCTCTAACTTTTGATCCTGAAAAATTATTTTCTTTGTTGGAAATAGTCACAATTGAAAACAAAACAAAATAAAAGCTGAACCTCAGCAGAAATGTTTTGATGCCTAATTCACAGTAATGTCTGTCACAGTCTCATTTTAAAAATGTAATTTTCCAACTTGTTTTTGAAAACACTGCACATTGTATCTACTGGCTATGATATTAAAATAAATGGAGTATTATATCTGTTGTACCTTAATTTAAACTTGAAGAGAAATTTCAAATTTGTTCAATCGTGTGTTTACCTGCGTTGCTTTTATGTAATGGGAGTCCCGATAAAGTGTCCTGATGAGGACGACAGAAAAGATTGGTGCGTTTGTAAATTGTACGATACGTTTAGGCCCAACTACTGCTCATGCAAACCCAACTTTCGTTGAATTCACTGGTGGTTCTTGTGAAACATAATTAGGCCAAAAATAAAAAGTCTCTGGTTTCTGGTATGGAGCTTGCCCAAAAAGTGATGCGGTGACGCGACTTTTTTTTTTTTTTTTTACCTGATTTTTTTTGCTTCAAATGTCAGCTGATGACTGCAAATGGTGCCCGACTAAACTTAGTGCAAATATATGGGAGTCAAGAGAGGCCACATAAAGCTAATTCACGACCATAACCCAATCTAAAAACATGTTAAAATTGTGCAGCAGCAGGATTCCAGTCTAACCAGTGAGTTTGGCGATTTTGAGACATCATCTTTCATTAAAAAAAAAACTTTTTCATTTTGCCGACGCGCATATGGCTACGGCGACGCGCGCGCATACCAGAAACCGGAGACTTTTTTTTTTGGCCTTAGCTGCCTATACAGGTTGTAAAAATGTAAAGAGACTCTCGGCATCCTGAAAAAAATAAAACAAAATCGTGCCACAAAACATTCTTCCCCCCCCCCTCCCAACAAAAGTGTTCCTATACGCCTCAACAAGTCCCAATTCCAATTACAATCCAACGTGCCTGGAATAGTTGATATAATTATTGAAATGGAAGAAAGTTTGAGCGAAAAAAAAAAAAAATTGACACGGAATCACTTCTATTACGTTTACGTAATAGTTTATGTTTATGTAGATCAATGATAATTTTTTTAGAAACTCAAAATCTCAGGGGGGGGGCGGCGACAAGGTTTCATTGGGGGGAGGGGGGGGGCTGTCGCCCCCCACACCTGTGGCTATACTACTGACTGTACTAAGCCATATTTCTGCATCACCCTTGTAAAACAACCAAATCAGGGGCGGATCCAGGAATTTTTTGCAGGGGGGGGGGGGTCTGCGGATCCGCGCCTGCCAATTAGTCAATGTAATGAGAAACAACGAGCGTTAGAACATAAGTGAACAATTGAGGTTTTTGTTTGTACATCGATTAAATTGTAGACCTTGCTCAATCTCATGAAATCTAGAAAATATTGTTTGCGTAAGTTGTGCACTCTTTGTTAAAAAAATGAGTCTGAATGAGGAGCGCCCTCTATTGCCCACGAATTGCTCATGAATTAATGCATGATCCACAATATGATGCACAGGAGTGCTTTGTTACAAGGTGTAAGATATGGTTTACATGAATGAAATGAAATAACAATGTAGGTATTAACACATTTTATGCAATGTAAAAGATGTTATCAAACAAGACATTTGAACATTAGTAAATTTGGCACAATAGCTCATTGAATCTTTGGTTTGTTGTAAAGTGAAATTTGTGAAACTAAATTCCTATTGGGAAACAATTAAGTTCTTGGAGGAAAATCCATGTTTTTGAGGAATTAAGCTCCCTAAATATCTTGTCTATTTTTTATAGAAAGAATTAGAAAATGATTATTTATTTTATATGCAATAATTTGAGAGTTCTATAATGAATTGGCATAGAATCAAGCCAGATAGACGCAACTCAAATATTGGACTGTAGAGGGCAGTATTCATATATTATGTTTAACCTACTTGTAATCAGTGTTTTTCTTAATATTTAACTTATAGTTGTACTAGAAATTATTCATGAAATAATGTGTCTGTATTGGAATTGGTATGTTTTTCTCTGTGAAGTGGATGTGACTTTTAAAACTTTAGGGGAGAAAATGTATTGGATGTTGTAGGCCAGATTGCCAACTTAAAACAAAAACCTTCTCATGTTCACATTCCAATTTTACCTTTTACAGCCTATTTTGTCCCCCATGAAAAAAAAGTGAAAATTTTGAATGTTTTTAAGGGCTTGCAACTCGGTAAAATCTTAAGGATTGAAAAATTTAGATTCTTGTATAAAATGGAAGTAACTTAATGTCTACATTTATTATGTTAAATGGAATTGTGGTTCTTGTAAAAATACACATGTAGTTAAAACACAACTTTAATTATAACAAAAATATTGTGAAATAAGTTGTTGAAGGATGTACAACCTACAATAGAAGCATATTGAATAAATGTCTAAATATGAGAAGCAGAATTTTGGACCTATGGTGGTTTCCTTCTGAATATTCAGTTTTTTCTGCTTTTTATTATTCAATTATTTAAATGAGGGCAAGGGTCATTTATTTCTTTTTTTATATTGCGCAATCTAACCTTTAAATATTAGTTCCGAGAACAAATTTTCGAAGAAGCCTGTGGCCTAGCGGTCTAGCTCGCTGACCGCCAGGCGCCGGGTCCCCGGATCAAATCCCAGCCGGGGACCCGGGAGGAGAATTTTTGCTCACTGCAGTGGTAAATTATAAAAATAAAGAAAATAGTAGCATGGAGCAGGGTTGAACCGCGTACCCCTGGCATGCCAGCTCTCTTCTTTTCCGCTCTGCCATGGCACTTTCTTGAAAAACTCTCCGGTTTTCGTAATTAAAACCCTTAGGTTGTTGGACTTAGAAATTTTTTCAGCTTTGGCCAGAATTTCAGATTGCAAGGGGTACCCCTTGAAATTTTTTCCAGATCTGAGGGTCTGAGGCTGGGATGTTGAGAGGGAACTGGATGGTTGTGAGGGAACTGGACTATAAGATGAAGGGCTTCCAAACAGATAAGGCAGCAAATTTATAGGCCAAGGAGTTTATGGATCTTGGGCACTTTGAGTTGGGCAGGCTGGTTGATGATTGAGAGGGGACTGGACTATTAGTTGAAGGGCTTCCAAATTGATAGGTCTGCAAGTTGATAGGACTGGGGGTTTATATGGGTCTTGGGCTTGTTGGACTTAGGAGTTATTAGGGCTGGACTTAGATTTGGGGATATCGTTGCTTCAAATTAGTTGGACTAAAGCTTTGGAGTAGGTAATTGAAGCTTATTATTTGTGAAGTCCAGAGCTGTTTTCACAGCCAATTTGTTGGTCTTTGCCTTTTTGGAGATTGATGCAATTGTTGAAGCCTGATGAAGAACATATAAGACTGCTGGAATGCTGGTTGCCAGTGCTGTGTGAGATGGATGTAGACTTCTTAGCATGAGGGTCTTGATGCAACTTGGTTGAAGGGCCTTCCTCAATTGACTATGTGGGTGGCTGTCGGAGTAGGTTTTCATGCTTCAATGATTTGCATGGTTTATGGCCCTCTCTTGTTTATTGGTGATAAGAGGTCACATGATAGTCTGGTGCCGGTGAAAATTTAATTATTTTTCTTTCAGGAGTGATTGGTTACACTTAATAATTTTTGAGGTGGGCTTAAATGTTTGCTACTCCTACATTTTTCTCAATTACTGAAAAAGCCATAGATGCGCTTCAAGGAGCAGTTTTTAAAAGCTAAATTTTAAGATTCAAAGAGTTGCGCTTGGCTCAAATATTGCAACAGTAATGCAAAGTTAACAAATTTGCAGCAGTTTCGATTATAAATTATTGTGCATTTTTACACGCAGAGTTATATACTTTGAACATGTTTAATCATTGTCGTACGCAACATATCAATTACAACACATTTCCTAAGTTATCATCTGGAAATGTATGTTCTTGTTGCATCATTGGTTGGCTCCATTTTGGTATTACTTTTTGCGTTGAACACACTCTTTTGTGCTGGTTACATTAATTGTAGACATCAGAAGTGACATGCACACACGGAAGGACACGGTAGAAACACCGTAAACAACATAAAAAAAAAAGGAAAACACAATTTGCGCTCTTCACATTTGCTAATTTATTTTGTACACTTCCTAGTTTTTAGTGCGTTCTAAACACACACTTTTTCAGATTTGCTACAATTTTTAACATTTTTTTGAAAGGGGGGGGGGTGGGATTTAGTACAGACCATTCTGGGCCGGACCAATGTAAAATTAGCTCGACACAGAAATATTCTATTGAAAAAAATCACCATACTTAATTACTACGCTATTCACTGTATACATGCTATTAACACTGCACTAAAAAAGAAAACAGACAAAACAAATTATCTAAAGCTTATATACAACTGTACAATGACTTCTTAATGTAGGATAAAATTAACACTGTACTACAAAAGGACAACAAAAGTTTGTCCACTACACAAACTTTGTACACAAAAATTACGGTCAAACTTTAAGTACAAATGTACAAGTCACGTTTACATGTAGGAGGATAAAGACTCACAAATCAACGACTTTAGAAGTTGCAATGTGGACATTTTGTACATCTACAGGGTGAGTCAAAAAGAGAGATTCAAGTATCATTAAGAATGACTTCCAAGGATTATATAGTTTTTGTATTTGTTGGGTAAGCAGTTTGTTATTCATAATCACTTTTGAATGACGATTGCATTAAAGGGAATATACAACATTTGTTTCGTTGTAATTTCAGAAATTGATGGATTTGGGAAGTTATCATTTTATAGCAAAATTTTTTAAACAGACTCCTTTGATAATTTGGTGGTGTAGATGCTGGAAAATCAAGAAAAACAATCATTTTCTTGTAGTCTGGTACACTCACTCCATTTAACTTGAAACGGAGCAATTTATAGACGTCAGGGAATTTTAAGGTCAGAGAATCAGTCTAGCTGGCTTGTACCCATTTACAAGAGTGAAATCGATTGTAAAGAAAATGCAGACCAACTAAATGTTATAAACTGGGAGCAGTATTTGAAGAAAAAAAACACCAGTTTTTTCCAACGCTGGTCGGCTGACCAGCGTTGGAAACCGATTAAAAGTACCACGTTTCTAGAAAATGCCAGCACACCAGATGCCAAGAATGCTTTAGACTGTCATTCACAAACTGTCCAGTAAGGTTTTTCGTGATGATTTGGTAAATTTATTTTTTTAAGTTTGCAAATGTTGTATATTCCCCTTAAGGATGCGTCCAAAATTATCAAAATTATAGATTAGGCCAAAAAAAAAAATAAGTCAGTCTCTGGTCAGCGCGCGCGTCGATTTTAATCATGTGCATCGATCTTTTTTTCCCCCAAAAATGTTCCGCGGTAGCTCCAACAGCACCCTCTATTTCCGCACCTCCTCAATTTGTTTTTACCAAAGAGCACCAAGGAATGGGAAATTGCACCAAGGCAAATGATCGAAAGCACCAAGGCAAATTATGGAGGACACCAATGTACATGAGGACACCAAAAAAGCAAAATAGTACCCCACCTTGTCTGTACAATCCAAGCTGGAAAAAAAAAAAAAAAGCAGCGTGGCCGCGTCAATTCCGGAACTTTGGTCTGACCAGAGACCAAATTTTTTTTTTTTGCCTTAAAAAGGGACAGGAAAAAAAGTGGACCCCAGATTTATAGAGTGACCCATATGGGCTCCATGGGCAAACTAGGGAGGGCATATTTTTACCACTTTAGGGAGCCTCGTAGATGAAACAAACCGCTTGCACGTACTGTACTTGTTCGCGCGCGCGCGTATGGCGTTTAAGTACGCATGACTAATTTTTCTCTGAATGTGCACAAAGCCATAGCGTCTACGCGTGAGCATCAGGCGTCTTCAACAAGGCCTTCGAATGTCTCTATCAGTGGTCTGCCCCAACTCTACCTTTCTCACCGTTGGGAAGGGGGGGGAACAATAGGGCAACATAAATACATATTGTACAGGTATGTGTTAAAAAGAAAAACAATTCATTGAGGCTACATCCTTCATTCAAACATCAAGACTTAAAATTTGAGTAATGGCCTAGTTTCTCGGATACAAGAATTTGCAAAACTTTACTTGACTTTCTTCTGGGCAGTGCCGATGTTGCACTGGTTGACCTTGGTAGCAAAACGCAGGGAGCAAATCGATTCCTGGAAGTTTTCCTCGCGCGGGGAGACGTTGACAAACATCAGTCTGAGGAGAGGGGAAAAAAATGGGAAATATAAACAATCATGAAAAAAAATTATGAAAAAGTAGTGTGAGGTACATTACATAACAATGCTCCTTGGCTTGGAATCTCAGTGGTTCTTTCCTCGCCTTCAGCCTCTATGGCATGGGTTCGATTCCTGGCCTGGTCTTTATGCACAGGGTGACCCCAAAACAAATTCGACCCTAAAACAATTCCCTTTAAAACAGTACCCTTCGAGCCTCTCGGCTGAGGGGTTAAAAAGGATTGGTGGATTTTTATGTTTTGGGTATCAGATTAAAGCTGAGAGCTTTTTCTTTCAAATACTGAAAAAAAAATCATGAAAATAGCACTTTGGATTGCTGAGAAAATGCCAATTGTGTAGTGGTCATTTTTCATCCTGTACACAAAAAAATCACCGCAGAAAGGGATTTTCACTGTACCTATTTGTGCATGGCCTAATCCTTACAAACAATGGTCAAGAGATTGCAGATGAGGAGTTTTGGATTATTTGTCTGAATTATATAATCAGATACAGGTTGAGTAAAACAAAAACGAAACCCAAATGTTTGGACCATTGTTTTAGTGAAGTTCTGCATGTAGCTTTTTCAAAATCTAGGATATGAAAGCCCAATTCATAAGCTTTCTTTTAGTACAAGAATCATTCGAATCACGTGGGGCGCTGTGGTCCATGGTTACGGTGTTCGACTTGTGTGCCGTGGTGCATGGGTTTGAATCCTGACCGTGGGAACATGGTGCTTGTGCTCCTGAGCAAGGCACTTCGGGTGGGACATAAAGCTGTAGGTCCAGTGTGTTGTGTAATGCATTTACAGAACCCAGTAACACTTATCGCTAAGAGAAGGGGTTTGCCCCGGTGTTTCTGGCAGTGGCTGCAACATGCGCCGCAGCACCTTGTCAACCCTAAGGTGCCACAAAATGGGTCTCATATTTCTCATAAACTTTATTTACCTTTCTTTAATAATTGACATAATTTCCAGCGCCTTGAGTACCTCATTGTTGGTAGATACATCCGCTATATAAGACTCGGTTATTATTACTACTCATGTATTTTTCAAGAATTTTAAACACAACCACTAGACTCACGTTTTGGAGTTGCCGCCCAGGGAGTTCTGCAACAGGTGGGTGAGCTTGCTGTTGCGGTACGGTATGTGGTGCTCCTTGTTGGCGAGGGCCATGATGACGTTGCCCAGGTTGCTCAGGCTGCGGTTGATATTCTTGGTCTCCCGCAGCCGATCGCCGGTAGAGCCGGACTGGGAGAGGCGCTCGCTGCCGGCAAGGTCCACAAGGTTCAGGGTACCTGAGCAGCGAGTGAAAGAGAAGAATAAACTTTAACCAAAAATTGGCAGGTAGCTGAATTTATTTTCTCAGTTAACAATTTTTTTTTTAAAAGTGCTTCGACAATTGACCTATCACGGTAGAATCGCGTCAACACAGCTTGTGAATATTGTCCAATTACACGATATACAAATGGACGTGGAACGTGCAACATCCGAGACAAACAAAACTTGGCGTACAAAAATTCCATAGGGTTGTCTAAGGGGCATGGCTAACTCGCAAACGGCGGTAGGTCAATAGCAAAGTAGGCTGCCCTCTCAAGGCCAGTTTCTTTGGGATTGCACAAAAAGGAGTGTGACTTTTTTGGCATGAACGTTGCTTTTGTTCGGATTTTATTTTCTCGCTTAAAACACTAAATTGTTTCTTTCTTGGACAAATTCCCATGAAAATATACTCCTGAATGTGATACATCATGAAGAATTATAGGATGGAATTTCAATTCAATACATTCAATAAATCTCGACTTATTACCCGAACCTTCGAGTATTTTTGTCATGTACGATGACATTCATTCAGAATGTATTTTTCAGGTTGTACACATGAAGTTGTCTCGCTCACATTATTTGTACTTTTTAAAAATTGTCATCAAATTAAGTTTCATTTCAAATTACTCAACGAAGTTTCAGTATAATACATTTGGTATTTTACAAGTTTTTGTTCTAAACAACGAGTGATTTGTTGTAATTTAAACAAGTCGGCTGCCCTCTCAAAGCCAATTTGCACATCAACGACATTGTTGCGCCATTTTATAAAAACGTGATATAAATATAGAGATGAGATACATGACTTGGTCGCGTATGCGCTTATACACGGTGATTAAAGAAAAGAAACCCAAATGTCGGGACCATTGTTTTTGTGAAGTTCTGCATGTGGCACTTTCAAAATTTAGGATATGAAAGCCCAAAAGAATCATGCAAATTACTGGTGTAATTTTCAAGTTACAGAATTTTAAAAACAACCACCGTTTTAAAGGCCTGTCCGCAGGGCACAAAAAGGGTGTGCGTTTTTTCAGCAAAACAAAAACAATCCACACACATCCCTATGTGATTTGTTTTTGTTTTGTTGAAAAAACATTTGCGTAATGTGTGATCACGCTTTTTGAACTGTACCTACTTTGAAAGACATGCAACATTGTCACACGACGACGTATGCCTATGTGTAAATTGGCCTTTATGGTTTGAATTAATCGTACATATTATATTGGTATCCATTTAAATTACGTTTACCACTGAGAGATTTACGTTAATGTGTAAGTACACATTACTTTAAAAAATAAACGGTTGATGAGAGGGATCTATTTCTTTTCAGAGGAAGAACTTGATCTGAAACTAACTCATCAGTGGTTGTTACTTTATCATAGTCATTTGTGTAGTACAATATGTACTATATATGTGTACATGTATGTAGTTCTTTTTTCTATGTACATTTTTTTAAAGCTTAACCCTTTCATTACCACATTGTTTATTGACTTGGCTCTCCCCAGGACCAAATTGTTTGCTCAGTCATGCGGAAATCACTAGAGCGTGAACAAAATGAGCACGAGTCAAAAACTCACTTTTTTTCAACCCAGATTTTCACTGCCAAGGAGTGACTAAAATCATGGGTGTTGTGTGTAAAGTTTGTTCCTTGAACCTTACTCTTTTATGTGATGTAAAAATAAAGTTCATACGTGCAAATATAAGAAAGTTATGCCTTTCTGTTCGTCTGGTCCCATTTATCAAACTGCAAGCCGTTTCACCACATGTCCAAATGGCACTCCGTACCTCAAATTGTGCGTGGATACTTCTGAAGCACTTTTCTCAATTTTTTGTAATAGTAACACTATGAATAAACTACACCATTAGAACGATCCGAAAAACACTCTTTCAGCTGGTATATGGCAGATTGTATGGGGGACCAAACATATCAACATGCTGCCTTTCTGAAAAGCAGTGAATAAATCTCTGTTGAGGGTGTTCTGTGTGTGGTTTTCCTGGTCGACTAAAGTCGCCTTTGGGAATCAGCAGGGGGGTAGTTCTTGTCGACTTAAGTCGCAAATGGTAAGGAAAGGGTTAAACATGTAAACGATAAAAGAAGTTCAGATAAAACATAAAATCAGTCCTAAAGACTGTGCTTAGTGACTCTGTGACTTTCGCTCCTCATTTTTCAATCCCAATCACACACACAAAAAAACAAAGGGGCCTTCCTCCCTACTCCCAGCACACCCACCTTGGCTGGATTCCCCGGTCAGCGCGTTGCTGCCGTTCAGCTTCAGCCGGAAGACGCTGTGACTGCGCGAGGACCGCTCGTTGCAGTTGGTGGCCGCCACGGCGCGGTTGTGGGTCGCCCGTCCCAGCAGAGACTGCACCTGGCCCTCGCTGGTCACCGTCACCGTGGTGGAGTTGGTCACCTCCACGTCCGTCCCCTTGGCGTCCGCCATCTTGATCTCGCATTTCTTGTCGCCGGCGCCCAGCAGGTCTCTGACCGTCTCGTTGTAGATCTCTAGGAAGCTGGCCTCCATGGTGTACTGCAAAATTGTACAAATACAAGAGTGCTTTAAAAGCATATTGGACCGTTTGCTTTTGGGCATTTTGACCACTCAAAATCGAAAGGAGAATGTTCAAAACCTAGCCTGTTGAAATTTCAGGACTGCTCGCTTCCTCAACACTGGGTAACGCGCATTCCATAACAACAAATTTCAAGTACATCTAACACACACGATCAATTTTACATCCTTATTTTATAGAACATTGTCCAGAAATTAGTACCAGAAACAGGTGAAGTGTTTTGCAGAAGATTGTCACCACACCAGTTAAAACCACAGTTGGGCTTATATTCGCTTCCCTGAAGAGAGTCAAGCCAATCATCAAACTTGAGTTTACAACCGCCACAGCAAAACACTCTTGTGTTCACGTTGGGCCGCTGCAGTGCGCGTGAACTGGTAATCATAACTGCACTGAGTTGACCTGCGAGTGACGTCAAGACTACAACAACAGCATATACACTAACCTCCCAGCCTTTCTCTCTGAGCTGACCGGCCGTCTGGAATATCTGCCGGACGGCCCTGGGGATCATCCCTTCCGTCTGCTCCTCGACATTGTCTGGTCCCTCCATGGTGAACGTCTTGCCGCTCCCCGTCTGACCGTAGGCAAAGACACAGACGTTGTAGCCATCTAACGCGCTCTAAAGTCAAGAACAAGAAAGAAGGAGTTGGATTAATCATTTAGTTTTATTCCTTGCAACTCTGTAATTATCGCTAATAGAACTCAACTCATCAAACCCCAATGGCATGTTTTGTTGGAATCTGTCAGGATGGGTACAGTACCCCTAAACTGACAGTCTTTTACATTGGGTTGGCACACCTCCAGAATCAAAGTCAGAAATATGTGTGTGCAGTTTCCCATATGGTGTTGGAATTTGCCAGGATGGGTGTGGTTCCTAGTAAGGAATTGTTATGAGTGCAATGTTAAGAACAATGTCATGAAGTGACAGATGACTTTTCAATTTGGGTGTTTCACAATGCAGTGCGCCACCAAGAGTTTGCCACAGAGTTAATTTTTCCCAGTGCATTGTGGGAAATTGCCGACCAATTCGCAGCACAGGACATTTGATATCATTAGTTTTACCGGTCAGTAGATTAGTACCTTTCATTAATGATTCCAGTATCTGTTTGCCCTTTTCTTTTTATCGATATGGTGTTTTTTGTAAGGCGGCAGAACGCTTTGCCCCAATCTTCAACAAATTAGCTCAAGTTGTCTACTGACACTCGTTCACATGAGCCGTGTTTTTTTCAACCGTAAATTTGAAAAGTGGACTCTTCAGGGCAAACTCTTGGTGGCGCACTGCATTGCGAATTGTCCGAATTCCATGAGGCAAGGCCAAGTGGAATGGAACAATCCTTCTGTCACCTCATGGACACCCTCCCGAGGACAGACAGATGAGAACCAACTGTTTTTTTTCTAAAAAAACCACACTTCTTTCAAGATGAGATTACTTTCCACATGGTGCTACCCGCAATCTCATTTGCCATACAAAGCTTCAAGCCATATAAATCCGGGTTACATGGAACAAAACAAATATTTCACTTTGCTGCTGCTCGCGAAAGTTGCAGTTTAGGCTACACAGCAAAGCTATAAAGCTCACTGTACACACTTGTATCTTACTGTATTGATGCACCGATGTGGTAGAATTATCATGCAGACCTTTATGAACAACGTATACAGCAACTTCCGAGATATAAATTTTGGGTTTTTTTTTTTTTTCAATCGGGTACCCTGTTCCCGTACTACCCTGAAGCCCTTTCCACACTAGAGCCTCTCAACCGGGGTTGAACTCAACCCTGGGCGAACCCAGTGCCGCCCCGAGTTGAGTTTTTGATTTTTCAACCCCGCGTTCAACCCCGCATCGTTTCACACTTGTTTCATGCAAATCAAGCTTATCATGCTCAGTTACTACTGTTTTGAACCCTGGCAAGAATTTCAACCCGGGTTGAAAATCTCAACCCTGGTCTGGAGCAGGGTTGAGTTCAACCCGGGGCGAAATCAATCTCGGGGTTGACGCAGGGTTGACGAAGGGTTGAAATTCTTCAAGTGTGAAACGACGCATGTTTTCAACCCTGCGTCGACCCCGAGATTTGTGGAAAGGGCTATAAATACACACTCCCAGCTGGGTTTTGCCCTTTAACCCTAACTCCCTAGGCCTTTTTGCTAGGATGTAGCCTCAATCCTGCAAAATCCTCCAATTGGTCTCATGGAAAAATAGCATATAGCCTCAATCCTGCAAATTCCTCCGTTGTTTCTTGAATATGGTCCATGGAGGGGTGACCACTGCCTGAATCCTGCAAAATCCTCCGGCTATGACTGTCAACAGGCTGAGGCAGAGTCAGTGACATCCTGGAGCAGTGCGGAGGATGTCAAGTATAATCAAGGACTAAATTTATGCATGGCTGAGCATAAACAACACAAGGTCCAGCCCAAGACCTTGACACAGTGCGTACTCCGAAATCAGCCACCCACTTTTGCCATGTAACCTCAATCCTGCAAATTCCTCCAATTTGCAAAAAGGATTTTGGAGGATTCATTAATTGAACTTCACCTGGACAAGTTGAGAAATCTCTTCGAAGACTTCCGCCTGAGTAGACGAGGGGTCGAAGACTCGGTCAAAAGCAAAATCAAACTTCTTGCTGCTGCTTGACCGAGTTCCAACGTTGCTCTGGAAAAATGAAAAGAAAAAAACAACAAGAAGATTATTATAAGATGGAATTTTTGCGCCGGGGTGATATTATTCAATTTTTTTTTTAGGTTTTTGCCCTTCACCGACGTTTTTTTAAACATTATATACTCAGTGTGTTACCTCCCGAGTGAAAGTTGGAAAAAATCACTTGGGTGGGACTCGAACCCACGACCTCCTGCTTTTTAGTGCAGATGTCTTACCACTCGACCACAGAGCTAACGGGATCGGTTGGCCGGTTTGAATCTGATGTACAAAGCAGCGGGTACCAAAGAAGAAGATTAGCTTATTAGCATCACTTTATTCAGGACAAATTGTATGTGCCTTGAAATGTAACACCCAAAGCAACAACTCCATTATGCATAACACAAACACCCCGTGGAAAAGAGGGAACCTGACAACAAAGAGCCACAACTTTTTGATTAAGAAACTTCACACTTCAGTGTGAATGTGCGTAAATTTTTTTGGTTGAATATTCAAAGCGGCAAAAAGTTATTTGAATATTCGGTAGATGATTGAATATTCAAATATTGGGAATATACGGTACAGCCCTATTTAGGAACATTCGATTGCTTGGTTATGAGGCCAATGGTTTGAATATTTTTATTTGGTGTGCTAAAGACGAAGGAAGAGTCTCATCAACCTCATCGTGTTACCTCGTTCAGGTCCACATTCGTCAACTCGATGGATTTGTTGTCTGTCCCGGCAAAGTTGATGTGCCCGATCTCGTCGCCACTGGACGCCTCGTCAGGCAGCAGCGGGCGAACGCGGCAAAACACACGAATGTTCCCCTGATGAAAAAATAAAATGAATGTTACTGCTTTCATTTATGGGTCTATCCATTCTTATAAATTTATTCAGATGGGTGGAATGGGGGTAGTCAGAGTTACCGAATTGTCAAAGAAAATATGTGATGCAATCAAGCTTAAATGAGTCATTTGTCGACCCTGGTCATTTTTTTTTACAGTTTTAAAAAGAGCGCAATCTCAGCATTACTGCTGTGAAGACCACATGCTGATACCATCTTTAGTTTAAAAATATGGAATTCGGAACACCAAGAGATGTGATGAAGTGGCCCTATTTTGGACTGGGTCTCCAAAGCACTCACAGATTTAAGAGCACGAAATTTAAAGAAAAAAGTGTGGCCTAATTTTATGGATCTTCTTTCCATTTGGGAATAATCCTCCTTTAAAAGGGTACTCAAGTACAACTACGGGGAACAAGTACTACAAAACCGTCCCAATCCTTTGGCAAATCCTGGATTGGCCAATGCAAGACATCCTCCACACCCCACCTTCAGCTCTTGGATGGTGTTGTGTAGTTTCCTCCTCGTCGTCTCGTTGTCACGGATTTGAGAGTCCTGATCCGCTATTGTGGCTTGGTGCTCGGCAATGACCGCCTTGAGCTCCGCGATCTCGGCCTGGTAGCGCCGGCCAGCCTCCTGGGACTGCTCATAGTTCAGCTGTTGGAATGCAAAAAAAACAAGTGAAGAATGTTGATGAGTGCAATGGTAAGAGTAATTTCATGAGGTGACAGATGGAATGGTCCATTCCACAAGGCGAAGCCGGGTGGAATGGAATAAGCGCCGCAATCCTCCAGTGAGTGTTCCTAGTTCAGCTGTTGGAATACAAAAATACAAGTAAAGAATGTTTATGAGTGCAATGGTAAGAATAATTTTATGAGGAGTGCGTTCGCTTACCACCCCCAGCTTACTCGCGCCTGGCTCCTCACGTAATGACAGATATGCGCAGTGAAGCTAAATAAACGAACGGTTTCGGGTAAAGTTTCGTGCAAGAGCTGGAAACATGGGCGTCGCAAGGATTTTTTCTAGAGGGGGCAAAACATATTTTCCAGAAAAATCCTGTTTTTCTCAACATATTCTCGATTTATCAGTTTTCATGGTTTTAGAGAGAGGTAGGGACATTTTGCCCCCCCATTAAATTTTCTTCACATATCATCTCAATGTAGGTCATTCAATACAAAAATGATGATAAGACATGAATCTGGGACTGAGAAATATGTCCAATTTTGTTAGAAAAAAATTTCTTGACTCTTGACTTTTTACACAATTGCAGAAGTGGCATCAGATAGCAACAGTTTTCCCAGGCTGCATCCGAATCAATTAACTGTAGAGCACGTCCACTCCCGGTGAAAATACGCAGGGATGCATAGAGCTACATGCATGGTAGCCCGTTTCGGACACGGCCTGATGAGACACCCGCCGGAGGTTGCATGGCCTTATGGGATACTTACCCAAGTAACCGGCTCGGCGAGTCGGTTACTTGGGCCAGGCTCGACTAAGTGGGAGAAGTCATGCTTGCACGAGTAAGCGCGGGGGGAAGCAATCGAACGCACTGGAGGTGACAGACGGACTGTTCCATTCCACAAGGTGAAGCCGGAACATTCCATCTGTCACCAATTACTCTGTCCATTGCATTTACCGCACCTTGGTGTTGGCCAGTTGGGCCGTGATGCCCGCCTGTGCTGCAGTCATTTGTGCAACGGACTGCTTCAGGCCGCTGCACTCCTGCCTGGAGGCAGCCAGGTCACCCCTGGTGTCGACAAGCTGCCTTTCCATCTGGTGGTTGGTTTGCAGCAGGTCACTGTTGTCCCGTTGCAGGCGGCGGGTGGTGGAGGCCAGCTCATCCTCAGCATCCCTGCACAATATTCGACAGGAAATCATACAAGACATAAAAACAGTTCATCCGCGGATCGCGTGTGTTGCCTGTTCCCAAGGTCGATTTTGTCTTCTTCTTCCTCTTCCAAAAAAAAAAAAAAAAGGTTTACAAGATGATGCAACGCATTAAGCAGCCACTGCCAGAAACACCGGGCAAACTCCATCTCTTAGCAATAAGTGTTACCTTGTTCTTTTATGTGCTTAACTCAATGCTCGCAACCATCTGAAGGACGAGGCAATATTGGTTAAGTGTCTTGCTTAAGGACACAAGGGTCAAGACCGTCACTCGAACCCACACTCTGCTGATCAGAAACACCAGAGCTTGAGTCCGGTGCTCTTAACCGCTCAGGCATGACATTCCACATTAAGGAACCCCCCCCCCCCCCAAAAAAAAGGTTCCGGTTTCTGGTCTTTGCGCGTGTTGCTGTAGACATGCGCGTCAGTAAAATTTTTAAAAATGGGTTTTTTTTCAATGTAAGATGATGTCTTTAAAAACTGCCAAACTCGGCTCCTATACATTTTGCACTAAATTTAGTCGGGTACCATTTGCAGTCATCAGCCGACATTTGAAGAAGAAAAGTATATAATTTTAAAAGTCGAGTTGCCGCACCACTTTTGGGGCAAGCTCCATACCAGAAACCGAAGACATTCTTTTTTGGCCTATAAAGTATCAAATGCCAAAACGAAACAATATATTGAACTTCTATTACCTGACTTGTCTTTCCAGCTGCAGTATCTTGCTGTCAGCCCGTTCCAGCGCGGCCTGCTGCTGCTTGTTGGAGTGTTCCAGGACATCGTTGTCGCCTCTCTTGGCAGTGACTTCCTGCAGGAGCTGGCTGTTGGCGACGTTGCGCACCTCTAGCTGGCTCTCAATGTCGGCCAGCCGGCCCTTCAGGTCCCAGGCAGGCCTCTTGCTGGTCTTCTTGGGGCCTGAGTTGGACAATCGAGCGAGATTCAGAGATGGTCTGTTCTCGTCAACAATTATAATTTTTTTTTAAACTTCTCCGAAAGACTTTTATCAGATTTTAACAAAACAGGTATTCTTTTTTTCTACTGTGGGCATCCGGATTGTTACAAAGTGTAATTATCTCATTTGTTTAAAAAATGTTTTGGTGTCAAGGATTTCTACATTGATTTTTTTCTCCACATTGAAAAAAAAAAAATGCACAATAGACCTTTATCATAGTGCCACCATTTCAGTCATGTTCCATGTATCCAATAATAGTATGGAATGATAATGTTTTTTTGTACAAAAAGGAACCAGACTGTTTTTTCTTCCAGCCTGCGTATTTTATTTTTGCAGCGTACATCCTATTTTAACCAATCACATCACGCACCCTAACATGAATATTTATCACGCTGTGTGGATGGAAGACACTTAGGTTCTCGTAGTGTATTCCCTTCAATAAACTCATCCCAACCAACAAAAATATTTGATGAAAATGGACGTGGGTTCGAACTGCAGATCTTGCGATCCATAGTTCATTCTGCTATCCACTAGGCCACTGTGGCAGCTCAACGAAAGCCGTTCTTTGAAATGCTTTAATTGCATGCATGACTGAATGATAGCAATAGTGTGACGCTGTTATTTTCTGATGAAAAAACATCGGACTAGCTGAATAATCATGATCCATTGATGATGTGTACTGCAGATAAAAACACGGCTTCCGGCCTCCCTTTGGTTACGTTGATTTGAATGGCAAAAAAAATCAAGATGGCTGCAACATGATAAGGGTCTATGGGTGAAGAAACAGTCCACTGGAAAAGAAATCACATAGGGATGTGTGTGAATTGATTTCGGTTTGCTGAAAGAACGCACACCTTTTTATTTGATCCGTCGAAACAACTTTAAAACGGTGGTTGTGTTTAAAATTCCGCAACTTGAAAAGTACATGAGTGATTTGAATGATTCTTGTACTAAAAGAAAGCTTATGAATTGAGCTTTCATATCCTACATTTTGAAAGTGCTACATGCAGAACTACACTAAAACAATAGTCCAAACATTTGGATTTCTCTTTTTTTTTTGACTCACCCTGTATCTCAGTAAAACTGATCTTGTGAGTTTCAAGTGGCAAAGGTTGGTCAGTGGAAGTTACTTTTAAGCCATGGGAAAAAAATATCAGCGCAAACGCAGCTTTGATTTTGAGAAGCAAACTTTGCATAATGACTCACCATTTGTAGCACTGGTCACACCAGGCTTAGCTGTTGAGGTGTTAGTAGGCCTAGGCCTTGCTGTGCTTCTAGCAGGTGCTGGATTGCGAGCAACGACTGCAGCATTTAAGGGAAAGTGGTATTTTGCAACAAAAAATTAATATTCCCTTTTTTTGTGTGTGCACAAATCCGGAGCATAAATTCTAATAAAACATGAAAGAAATGAGCCACTTTTGACACTTCAGCTGATGTCAACTTAGTTACCGTGTCGCCTGAAATAGCCTGAGAATCTGAGAAAATTGGATTTTGTAAAGTGAAGGCATGCAACTGGGAATTCAGAAAAAAAACGAGGCAACTCCATACCACACAAGACATTGTGCAGTAGTTTTCAATGTGTAATGACATTCATGAGAAGAAAAAAAGGAAATCAGCATTGAGGGGAAAGCATTGAGAAGAATGCAAAAATCCAGCCTTTAGTACTTTCCAGTTTGCGCTTATATCAATTGACATACACGTTATATGTATTTTGCTTAAATAAAAAAGAAGAAGAAACAAACAACTAAAAAAGCGAATTGCTGTGAAGCTTTTTTGTGAAATTAGCAATGCACTTATTGAGACAAAATTTGAGTGTTGAAAAGTCCTTGACCTTTGCAAAGTGGACACCTTTGAGTCAACTTGAAAGCAAAGTATATATTAGAGAAATTAGTATTTATTCACAAAGCAAAATTATTGCAATATGCACATGTTTGAACTGGTTTTTTTTGGTGTTTTTTTAGTACTTAGTACTACGAGCTGGCCTAGCTATGCCATTTAAACCAGCTTATATGGAGCGCAAATGCAAAACCTACATTGCAAATTTGTAATGTTGCAAGTTTTCCTTCTGCAAACTCTCAAACATGTCAACAACTTGAACGCTTTTCAAATCTGGTGAGTTTTGCTGAGAATGCTGTGTGGCGTCAAATAAGTGATGTTGGCAAGTGTTCCTTTAAGCTGGCCTCACACAGATCAGTAAACGGCTGACTTTTCATGATCAAGCTGTGCCTGAGCTAAAACCGTCGGGAACATTGTAGTCGCCGATTTTGTGCGACCTGAGTGTATCTGTGACGATATTAAGACCATCGGAATTAGTCAACGCTAAAAAAATCAACAGTCGCAAGAGTAGAAAAAATTCAACTTCTACGACGACGTCGCGATCGTGCGCGCATCAAGACATCCTTTTTTCATCACGCAGTACGCACCATGCGCACATCAATTACCATATAAGGAGATCGTTGACTACTACTCGCGAGAGGCTATTCCATAGCATAGCTAGAAGGGTGTTTAAAATAACAATGAAGTAAACTGTTCAACAAAATCATTGGATATGAATAATTTTTGACTTGTGTCGACTTTTTGACTCAAAAAGTATTTGTGAATGGGAATACAAGTACATGTACATTTAAGACCACATCAGGGGAATGCGCGCTGATAACGGCTCGGGCCGAACCGGCCAAGCACGTAATTATTCCCTTATTGTCAAACATGCCAAAGAAGCCACATGACTGTCTACACTGTGGAGTCGTGGTGGATCGTCATGTCTTGGGTGACATGAGCATGGTTGCGAATATTTTGCGTCGGGATGCCGCTTGTTTCAAGAGAATCACACGATTTCTGTTCATTGGAGCCGAGCAGCCGAGTACCCGACCGCTGGTGTCAAGATTATAGTAACGAGTACCCGTAACCGACGTTACAAATTACTCAGTTACTTCTGAGACTATATGAAAAAGAAAGGTTCTGAATGTCATTGATGGGGGATTTTCAAAATGAAATTCACACCGTAAAGCTAAGAGCTAACTCGTATTTTAGTGAGCTCTTAAACTTTATGTGCAACTTGCATTTTTGCAAGCGTCTTAAACGGGAATCTGTTTTGACCCACCAATGTGGTAGTAATATTGGGGGACCTTTTATGACCTTAATAAGGACTAAATGCTTGATTGGTCAATTCGAATGCAATGTTTTGTAATATAACAACGGCCGGGCATAGATCTGTAAAACCTAGTCGAGCTTTACGCATATCGTGTCACATAATACACAGCGCGTGACCACAGCCTTTGTTTTTACGGTGTCTAGGTTATTTTTAATCCATGTCTATGATGCGACAAAGGGTGAATGACAGAAGACCGGATTTAGAAAGCGCCCGCTGATTGGTCAAAATCTAGAGGTCAAGAGGCGGTTGTCTTGCATAATTAATCAGCAAATCTGGTCCCATATCATAGACCATGGCTCTTCGTAATGGTATATTAAATAGACTGGCGCAAGTCCTACCTCTAATTAAAAGCTTAGAGCCATCTTAAAAGTTTGAAAATCTTACTCTGTTTTGCAGGCTTCGCAGCCGCAGGCTTTGCAGCGGCTTGCCTCGTGCTGCCACCGGCCGCTCGATTGACCTGCGAAACAGCCCTGGGTCCACTGACGACCTTTGGTTTCTGAGGTTTTGACGCAGTGGGCTTCTTGACACCGTTAGTCCTGACCGTCACCGTCGGTTTGGCAACAACCTCGGACTTGCTCCGTTTGGGTTGAGGTGCACCTTCATCCTTACCCTGTCAGGAGGGGGTTTTTGTTGGGGGGGGGGAGGGGGAGGGGGGTTAAGAAAGGAAGAGAGAAAGTTAATACAAATGTATAAAAATCAACAAGAAATGTTGGGCTTTTGGTCAGAAACTGTTTCAGCACCCTCTAATTTATGAATATTTAAAGGGAATATACATCATTTGCTTTTACTGTAATTTTCAGAAATGGATGGAATTGGGGGGTTGGAAATATAAAGCAAATATAGTTACACTGACTTTTTTCAGGTTTTGGGTTCGAAAATGCTATAAAAACCAAGAAAAACAATCGTTTTCCTGTAGTCTGGTTCCCTGACTCCATATAAGAAGAAACAGAGCAGTTTACATACATTGGGGAATTGTAAGGTCAGGGAACCAGTCTAGCTGGCTTGTACCCGTTCATAGGTGTGTAATCGATTGCAAACGAGTGCGATGGTCAATTGGGGCCAGTATTTGAAAAAAAAAACCAGTTTTTTTCCAACGCTGATCGGCCGATCAGCGTTGGAAATTGATACAAAAATACCACTTTTCTTGAAAATGACAGTATACCAGGTGCCATGATTTTACAGGATGCTTTTTCACTGTCATTCACTAACAGTCCAGCAAGGTATTTCAAAATGATTTGGTTGTTTTATTTTTTGATGTTTGCAAATGTTGTATTTTCCCTTTAAATGCGGTACCCACTGCTATGTACATCAGGTTTGAACCAGCCAACCGATCCTGTAGGCTCAGTGGTCGAGTGGTAAGACATCTGCACTAGAAAGCAGGAGGTCGTGGGTTCGAGTCTCACGCGAGTGATTTTTCCAACTTTCACTCAGGAGGTAACAGTAACACATTGAGTATACAGTGTTTATACGTTAGTGAAGGGCAAAACCTAATCTGACCCTCTAACTTTGTCTTCTGACATGTCTGAAATGTGACATACATTTCCACAAAGTGGTGTTAAATAAGTGAACCAAAAATGCAAGCATCTAAATGACAATCCGATCAATTGACTTAACAATCAAATTAATCACTGCAGACCCAATCGAAGAAGAAAAAGAGCTACATATGTATACATGGATCATTCTATAAATTTTGGGTCTCCTTTTTTCCCTGTCCCCGGTTTAATACATCTGGCATATTTTGACTGATGGCATTCCTCCAGGGTACATCTTCTTAAATCAGACAACATTAGAGGATCATTAAACATTATACTTACTTTCTGACTTTATCTAAAATGTCTATCCTTCGTTAAGTATGTAACACTTTTTAGAAACATTATCCCCCGCATTTTCTAAAACCCAAACCAGTTAGCCTTTGCAGCTGAGGATATTTGTGCAAAGCTTGCAACGTTTACAGCAGAAATTGAGAGACAAAGATCGTAGTTTAATTATCAAAACTCAAAAGGTCTTCGCAAATGTCACACTTTTGGGCCCCATAATAGTGTGGAATTGCCCACATAGCAAACTACCCACCCAACGGCCAACTCATAAAATAATTGTTTGAAGTCGTGCTAGATGATACCGAATGCCATTTTTACCAAAGTAACTGTGACACGAAAAATGGACCTTAAATTTACAGAATGACCCATGTGCATTGCCTAAATATTCTCAAACCAACCAAAACAGTTTGCCTTCTTTGCACATTTCTGTTTCCTTGCTAACGTTGGTGGCACAGGTGGCCATAGTGCATAAAGCGCTCTCCTCTCACCACTGTGGCCCTGGTTCGTTCCTGGATAGGACCATATGTGAGTAGAGTTGCTTCTCCTTTCTCAGGGCCCTCCAATTTTCCTCCCTCCAAAAAAAAAACTCAATTACTTTCGATCTCTGGCTGTGCTCTGTGGTCATATATGGGTCATATGGTTGGCTGTCAAAGGCACCTTTGCCAGCGGTCTAGCCCTACTAGTGTGGCCGCGGTATGCTGCCCTGAACCTCTGGCCACACACCGTGGTTGGCACACTACTGAGGACGTTTTCATAAAATTTGCAGGCAGTTTCTTACATATGGTTGTATTCTACGATGTCCCATCTATCACTTCCGGGATGCTTGGGTGTAATGACAGCAGCAATGCTTTTAGGAGAGTACTCTAATGCAAGATGCAAGATGCAAGATGTTCAATTTTCCGAGATATTCTTGAATCTTTCTGGAGCCGATATGCACTCGTGAAACGTCCGGTGATGGCAGCCATTTTGAATGTGACAAGAGATGACCTCAAGCTGTGACGTCGCGTTTATGCAAATTGCTTGTCGAGCGAGGGCGCGAGTTGCAAATGCGACAGCTGTTTCCTGTACCATGTATTTATCGTCTGGGGCCCACGTGCACTGATCTATATTCAGGATCCACGGCACAGGAAACAGCCGTCGCATTTGCAACTCGCGCCCTCTTTGGATCGACAAGCAATTTGCATAAACGCGACGTCACAGCTTGAGATCATCTCTTGTCACATTCAAAATGGCTGCCATCACCAGACGTTTCACGAGTGCATATGGGCTCCAGAAAGATTCAAGAATATCTCAGAAAATTGAACATCATTACACCTAAGCATCCCAGAAGCGATAGATGGGACATCGTAGAATACAACCATATGTAAGAAACTGCCTGCAAATTTTATGAAAACGTCCTCAGTAGTGCACGGACCACGGTGTGTGGCCAGAGGTTCAGCGCAGCATACCACGGCCACACTAGTGGGGCTACCAGCGGTCCGACCACGTTGTAGCCAAATCCTTCGCAATTCAGCTTCTCAGCTGCGAATAAGGATGATTAGCCTCCCAAAGTATTATTATCATTTTAACTCACCTCGTCCACGGCTAAAGGCCTTTTGACGTTCACCTGGGGAGGGCGAAGCTTGGAGGGCACCGGCAGCTTGCTCATGGGATGTACCATTGCCACCGGTGCGTTGACATCCTTCGAAGTCAGTGCTGCCCTCTGCTGGTCATAAAATGAAATTTACAATTTTGGGGATTCGTAACTTTTGATTCTTTGACACCATGCCAAAAGCAATGTATAATTAACCATTTGAAGTGAGTGCTGCCCTCTGTTGATCATAAATTGCAATTTACAATTTTGGGGATTCACGACATTCATTCAACAATCGCGCCAAAAGCAATGAATACAATTCTAAGATAATGTGGGTATTTATAAAGCGCAAGTATCCACCAGTATTGGTGCTCCAGGCGTTACAATGAGCATCGTTGTTACCCTGCTCATTGGACCAGTGAAATATTCCAAAGACAATCTCAGCTCCCTTGGGGAGTTTTTGATGCTGCCATTTCGGCAGAAAGCAGCTTAAATCAACCACAATAATCATCTGTGCTCTCACAGGTACCCATTTACTCCTGGGTCGGAGAAAAGCAATGAGTGACAAAGTGCCTTGCCCAAGGGCACACGCACCACAACCCCAGACTAGACTCGAACCCACAACCTGCAGAATTACCCGCAGACCACAAATTTAATGCTCCACACCACGAGGCCACGACACTCCTATCAGAGGTCCTGATGATAGAGTTAAAAAAAGTATTTTAGAGGGGACAGCTTTTTGCAATGAACTTACCGTAGACATCGTTAATACTTCTGAATCTGGAGTACTTGAAAGTGCAGTTGCAAAAATCACTGAAAAAGAAAACACATAAGTGAATTAAAGGGAGTATACAACATTTGTAAACATTGAAAAATAAAACTATTGAAAAATGAAATACTGTACTAGGATGTTGGTAAGTGACAGTCTAAAGCATCCTGTAAAATTATGGCACCTGGTGTGAAGTCATTTTCAAGAAAATAGTTATTTTGTATACATTTCCAACGGTGGTCGGCCGACCACCGTTGGAAAAACTTAACTATTTTTCAACTACTGCTCCAAATTTACCTTTGTCCCAATTTTGTTTGCCATTGGTTACATGTTCATGAACGGGTGCAGGCCAGCTAGACGGGTTCCCTTACCTTACAATTTTCTGGCATCTACAAATTGAATCATTTTATCGTGAGTGGAGTCGGGAACCAGACTTCTTGAAAATTTTTGTTTCTCTTGGTTTTTCCAGCATTTTCAAACACAAAACTCCAAACATGTCAGTGTTACAATATTTGATCTAACCAAATGACGATTTAACAAAATTGAAGACCGCAGATTTTCAAGTTAATATTTGTTACAACCATGATACATATATGTACCATCAAAAGATATCTCATTTTGAAGTGAAACTCAAAAATAGCAAGGGGAGGGCTGAACTTTTACTAAGTCCAATTTTTTTTTCTTGTTGGTTTCTTTTCTTAGTGGCTATCGTTACAATTTTGTAGTGCGGTTTTTAACTGCTATCATTACGGCATTGCAAAATAATACATTGATGACTGCCCTTTCAAGTTTCAACCAGGATCAGGATGCTTTGATAGAATGTCGGTCGTTTCGTACCCAAGTTGTTTCGTACCCAGGTCGTTTCATACCCAGGATTTTAACCCGACAAGTGACCCTGACAAATGACCCCGGACGAGTCGCTTGGACAGATTGACGGCTGTTTCATGTCGCAACCCCGAAAAAAAACCCCGCAGACGATTGGCTACTCAGCTCATCTCGTGTACGTGTGCGCACACGCACGTGGGCGCACGTGCGCCCGCGTGCGGTGCGGTGAGAGAGGAAAGGACTTGAAACTTGTCTAAACTAAAACGATGTCTCTTTTAGCTGCGACAGTAAACAGCCATAGAATCATACGAAACAGGACAGTACAATAAAACGCAATGCGCATGCGTCAGTTGGGAGAAAATGGCAGCTAGCTAGCTGGAGATACCCAGCCCTAAATTTTATCATTGGGTTGTCATTTAGGGCTGGAGATAACTTTTCACGTAACCCAGCAGCGTAGGCAGGTCCCAAAAAAATTGCACACTAACTGCAAAATTACACACTAATTGCAACTGCAACTCACCCCAAACTTGCCTGGAATAACCATTACACAGGTCCTTGAAGTAAACAACGATCCACAATGAAGATTCAGCCTACAATTGCAGTGAAAAAAGGAGGAATAACCGCTAACCTGACAACCTTGCAGGCATGGCCAGGACTGCAATTGGTTTGTGCACAAAAAAAAATTGTGTACCATGGTTCCGGTCGATTACCATGCACAGCGCACTGGTACTAATAGTCGTTTTTGCCGGTTGCGCGCGCTGGCTGTTGGCGCATGACGTCACGCCGAAGCGTAACACCCAATGACTGCTTCATGCACTATCGGTTGCCGTTCCAGTACCGCAGCTGTGAACAGTGATGCGAGTGGTAAACCATCGCGCTGTGCATGGTAATCGACCGCCATTCATTGTACACAATTTTTTTTTGTGCACAAATGCCACAAACCAATTGCATTTGCAGTCCTGGCCATGCCTGCAAGGTTGTCAGGTTAGCGGTTATTCCTCCTTTTTTCACTGCAATTGTAGGCTGAATCTTCATTGTGGATCGTTTTTTACTTCAAGGACCTGTGTAATGGTTATTCCAGGCAAGTTTGGGGTGAGTTGCAGTTGCAAATGTGTAACAGGGACAAAATTGAACATTTTCGAAAATATTTCGCAATATTTTTTGGGACCTGTCTACGCTGCTGCTGGGTTACGTGAAAAGTTATCTCCAGCCCTAAATGACAACCCAATGATAAAATTTAGGGCTGGGTAACTCCAACTAGCAGCTAGCAGGACTTCATAAACCGGGGCCAGAATTTTCCTCAAATTTCGACAAAATGCAAGTTTTGACGTACAAACAGATTTCAAAATTCAAGACAGTTTCATATTGTGAGTACTAGATTACATGGGCAAAATAACGTCCAGTGTGTGTAACGGAGGGAGTCAGAGAGACAATTTCGCCAGGTTCGAAAATACACAACAGCGTGGCGTAGTTTACAAGCCACGTTCACGGGCAAAAGAAAACGGGTCTACAAAGTCAAACTAAGGGGGGTCAGACAAGTCGACCGTTGAGACAACTCGACTCGGGACAAGTCGACCGTTGAGACAACTCGACCGTTGAGACAACTCGACCGTATGTGCGATAAATGGAAAGACAAGTCGACCGTTGAGACAAGTCGACTCGCATGTTTGGGCCTAGTTTGGGGGATAGTACCGGAGATGTTGACGGCGGCTGATCGCCGTTTGGGAGTTATGATACATGAGGGTTTTTTTTTTTTGCATATAACAGAGCCAATATAGCGCAGCGTGATTGTCCGTGAACATCGTTCGTTTTTGCCGGGCCTGCTGTGCGCACATCCCCGGTCAACGTCATAGCCGTACCGTGCACGGTTGTATCGTTTTTGCCGGGACTGTGCGCCCACTTGCCGGTCAACTTGTCCGTACCGTGCACGGTGACATCGTTTTTGACGGGCCTGTGCGCGCACTTATTCCCGGTCAACGTGGCCGTACCGTGCACGGTGGCATCGTTTTTGCCGGGCTTGTGCGCCCACTAATTATCCCATCTCCGGTCGGTCAACGTGGCCGTACCGTGCACGGTGACATCGTTTGTGCCGGGCCTGTGCGCCCACTTGCCGCGCCGGTCGACGTTCCCGGCACGTGCTGGTCTGGGCCCGGTCCTTGCGGGCGCGGCGGGGCGCGCCGGCCCGACGCGACGGCCACCGGTAGAGTATGCCCGCGCCTAGCCCGACTGCGTCTGGCCGTACAGTACTATCGCAAGCTCTGTAGTACGTACTACAGAGCTTGCGATAGTACTGTACGGCCAGACGCAGTCGGGCTAGCCCGCGCCGCACCCGGGACCGGTCCTGCCACAGATTTATGCAACTTTTTTCCGCTCCACGTGTATACATTTCCATTAAGTCAAGCTGTCACAACGGTCGAGTTGTCCCGAGTCGAGTTGTCTCAACGGTCGACTTGTCTCAACGGTCGAGTTGTCTCAACGGTCGACTTGTCCCGAGTCGAGTTGTCTCAACGGTCGACTTGTCTGACATTCAAACTAAGGACAATTACAATCAAACAATAGACCGCTTGCAGACGCGTTCGATAATCGACGCGCGAAGGCGCGCGACGCCATGTTGTGGGACAGGCGTATATCTATCCACGCACATTTTGTCCCATAACATGGCGTCGCTCACCTTAGCGCGTCAATTATCGAACGCGTCTGCAAGCGGTCTATTGAAACAGCCAAACTCACGGCGTCTGGACTAACGCCTGAACGCGGACTAACGACACGTTCGCGTTATTTCCAAAACAACTCGATTAAGTCTCATCAATGTTACTCCAACTTCACTGTGAGTGAAATGAAATATATCTACTTAATCATGTTCATAATCTTATTATTCAAGCAAAATGTTGCATTGTGAAAAATTCTTACGATTTCAGCGGACGATCGATTCCCCGTGTTCAAAAAATCTGCCAGAGCCGAGATAACAAAAATAGAACCATGTGATTGGTCAACTGACTGGCACCTGTAGAGCGCCCTCTGTTGCTAGCCACAACTAAAAACTTTATTTCGTTGTTTCAAACAAATTCTCTAGTTAGTTTATTTCTACTGAAACATGAAAATTAATATCTGTGGTTTTTATAAAGCTTATATCTGTCGGCTTTTTTCAATTTTTTTTGGTGCGTGAATTGAATTTTAACCAACTAAAATCATCTAAATCTTAATAGAAAAATGCAAAAATAAAAACCAGCGCGTGTTCCAAGTCAAAAGAGGGCGCTGTTTACATTTGTTGGAAGCACACGTGTGGGCGGGGCGCGTGTACGTACCCGGAAACCCTATGTCATGTGCTGCTGTCATGCGACTGTCAGTACACTCATTTCTCCAAGGTACATGTACACCGGTTCGAACGTTACGTTGCGAATACGAATACGATGTTATCAACCTGTAGATTACTCATCTATGAGTGTTTTGAATTATTTATATAACTTAACTTATACTTATAATTATAATAAAGTTACCAATTACCTCAACTGCAGGTCTTCGGGGGGGGGGGGGGGGGCACGCATTGCAAATGGCAAAGGGGGTGGGGTGGGTGTATAGCCAAATAAATGTGACCAATTTACTGAACTAGGCTACTTCCGTAAATAAAGGCCACACTTCCACATATGCAAAAGCATGTCGAACTTTGTCAAATTTTGATTTTCACATGTAGGCTTAGTTTGTTGGTTTTTTTGCTTTAGAAGCATACTTGCCCTCTTAGTAGGTTAATCAGAAAGTGCTGCCTTTTTCAGATGTCTAATATTTGTGAAATTTCATGTTGAAATTTTGATACGCAAACGTGTGCAAACGAATCTGGAAATGTCACAAAAAAATAGACATCTGAAAAAAGCACTGATTAGCCTTTAAAGAGGGTGAGCATGCTTCTAAAGTAAAAAAAAACAACCTACAAGCCTAAATGTGAAAATCACAATTGGTCCTAATTGACAAAGTTTGACATGTTTTTGTACATGGTGGAATTGTACGTGGCCTAATTTACGGAGGTAGTCCAGTAAATTGGCCACATTAAACTTATGGGGCTAGGGTGGGTGGGGCTGGACCGGAAAGACATGATCCATACCTGGACATCACTTGACAGGCTAAGGCCAAAAATAAAAAATATTCGGTCTCTGGTCAGACCAAAGTTCCGGAATTGACGTGGCGACGCGGCTTTTTTTTTTTTTTTTCTTCTTCAAGCTTGGATTGTATACAGACAAGGTGGGGTACTATTTTGCTTTTTTGGTGTCCTCATGTACATTGGTGTCCTCCATAATTTGCCTTGGTGCTTTCGATCATTTGTCTTGGTGCAATTTCCCATTCCTTGGTGCTCTTTGGTGAAAAAAAATCGAGGAGGTGCAGAAATAGAGGGCGCTGTTGGAGCTGCCTACCGCGGAACATTTTGGGGAAAAAAAAGATTGACGCGCATGATTAAAATAGACGCGCGCGCTGACCAGAGACCAACTTATTTTTGTTTTTGGCCTAATGGTAGATTTCTTTTTCTTCCAGTGTATCTTATGTAGAAATGCCAGCATGGCTTGTTCACCTTCCACTAGTCCATGGAACATCACCTTCAAATTATAGGCACGTGATCTCCTGATCTGATGAGTGTGGACATTTCCAGTGTTAGTAACATCCCTAAACATTCATCGACGCCATTTTCATGAGTACAGAAGTTGAGATTTTGCTGAAACAACTTGAGTGATTTGTGGTTTCTCTGCATCTGCTGTGTCGATCAGTACCACCATGGCAAGCTCACCAGAATCGGACAAGTTTCTTCCAACGCAGAGAAGCTGGGTGTCGGCAAAAAGTGGGTCTGCGAGTGACGATGATATCGCCGATAGTTTTGTGGTTGTCACTTACAATATCCTTGCAGACTGTCACGTGGGTGCGGAGACGTATCCCTACCTGCCTCCGGGATACCGCACCATTGAGGAGAGACACCCGCGACTGTTGAAGGAGTTGAAGCATCATGGAGAAGCCGATGTCATATGTCTCCAAGAGGTATAAGATAGCCATGCCACCTTGGTGGTTGAATTTCTACAAATTCTTTTGGAGGGCTTTCCAATTAGAGAAGTTTGTCTTACTGTAAAGCAAGCAATATAAATGTGAGCATGGCATGAATGTGAGCATAGCCAGCGTTCGGTACATCCCAACATGCCCAGTGTTGGAGTTGGGTCCATCACAAGTCCTCACATGTCCATGATAAGTACGATCACAAGATGTTGAACAAGGCCTTGCACAAGTAATGGTGACAGGTAGTGCGAACATTTGGGACTTTAGGTACTGTAGGCTATGTAAGAGTCACAGAACTTTTAAGGTATGGAAAACATGCAACACAAGAAAGTAGCCTGGCACATGAAACAACCAGTCCAACACAGTCTCAGACTCCTTAGCAAAGGAAGTCAAACATCTGGTACCTAGCTAGCCTGCCACCAGACTGCTGAACAGACCATCTTTTCAAAAAGTTGAACATATACACCAGTGTGGTCTTGGGCTTCAAATTAAAATCACTTGGCTTCACTCTGAGGTGCAAAATATTGAAGAAATGTTTCCTTTAAAAATTGAATTGAGACCTCAATCTTGGCTGGTGAAATACATGTAGTCAGAACCTTATCCTTGCCTTACGGAAATTTGGGAGAATTTGTCCACTAAAGAGTGTGTAGAGTTTGCCTGACTTTGGTTTGCATGTTTTTCTGCACTCTGGGGTCCCAGTCTGGGTAATGAGGGAACTGCAAACAGGGAGAACGGGTTTTCGGTACGTATTTTGACAACAACATTTGGTATTGCTCGGTATCCAAAAAATGTCGCTATATAATGAAGTCCAAAAAATGTTGTCACGATATTATTGAAATATAGTCCAAGCCCGGGATGAACAATAGCTAAATATACTTTTGTCACCATTAATTAAAATAGCCTGTGATTCAATTTGAGGATTAGGGCTTGCGACGGACATGTGAGGATCGTGATGAACTCAACTACAATGCCAATACATTAACATATCCTCTCTGAGTGATCCCCGTTTGCTATTTCCCAGGTTTGCAGCATTGTTAATGTTGCTAGCATCATGACTTTGGGCGTCATCCCTGGCTACATTCAATACCGGTTTATGGCTTTTGACTAGCAATTCTTGCAAAAAGACATTGACTAAGCGTGGAGCCGCCAACATAGGGCTGGATAGCTCAGTTGGTAGAGCACCGGAACGGTTATCCGGAGGTCGCGGGTTCAACCATGCTCCAGTAAATTTCTTTTTTTTCCAACCTAATATAACATTTTAACAATAGAAAAGCCAACACTTCCTTTTGAGCAGATGTAGTTTGTTTAAATGTTTGCTCTCGTAGGTTAATGGCAAGTACTTCAAGGAGGTGTTAGAGCCAGCGCTGTCGGCACTGGGCTACAAAGGTTTCCATGCCAACAAGGCGTTGGGCGTGGATGAGGGAGTGGCAACCTTCTACAAACCCAGTCGGTTTGAGCTGGAGGGGCGCAAAGTGGTCTACTTCAAGGACCAAATACAAGAGGTATCTATTGTGGTGTCATTGAGATGTTTTTATCTCGGAGGCTGCAACAAATAACTTGATGCTTCAAACACGATGTTTTGCTAGACTGAGGTTATAGAGGCTTAAGAGGTCCCGACTCCTGAGGCTATAGAGCCTAATAATGCCCCGACTACTGGGGTTTTAGAGCCTTATGAGGTCCTAACTACTGAGGGTAAAGAGCCTTATGAGGTCTTGACTACTAGAGTTATAGAGCCTTATGAGGTCCCGACTACTGGGGTTATAGAGCCTTATAGAGCCTTATGAGGTTCCGACTACTGGGGTTATAGAGCCTTATGAGGTCTTGACTACTGGGGTTATAGAGCCTTATGAGGCCTTGACTACTGGGGTTATAGAGCCTTATGAGGTCTTGACTACTGGGGTTATAGAGCCTTATGAGGTCCTGACTACTGAGGTTTTAGAGCTCTATGAGGTCCTAGATGGTCGCTGAAAAACAGTCAACTTTTCACAAACTTATCTTGGTTCCTTCTTGGCATCAGCTGATGCAGTCTGAAAATGAAAAGTGAAACATATGCCCTGACTTTTATGTTTTATCAGGAGATCTCCCATATGTCCCTCCCGATTGACCAATCAGAAGCCATCCTGGAGCGAACCCTCAAGGAAACGGTGACAATGTTCTCCGATTTTCGCTGCAAGAGAACAGGGCGGGTCCTGAAGCTGGGCAACGTGCACGCATTCTGGATGAACCACATTGCAATGGATGTCATCACTTTGCAGGTTTGTTGGTTGAAAATCCGATCCGTCCATTAAAGACGCACGGTTGGCAAATTGCCATGGATTCCACACGCAAGTACCCCCTCAACGGTTGGAAAGAAAAAGGTGGGGGAGACCACCAAGAGAGGCTTGTGCACGCAGTACACATTGACAACAACTACTGCTTTTTTTTGGAATAAAATTCAGTATTAAAGGGAAGATACAACATTTGCAAACATCAAAAAACAAATCACCGCGAAATTCTTCGTGAACGCAGTACACATTGACAACGATTACTGCTTCTTCGTTGTTTGGAATAAAATTCAGTATTAAAGGGAAGATACAGCATTTGCAAACATCAAAAAAACAAAATGATAAAATTACCACCAAATTCTTTACTGGACTATCAGGGAATGACACTCTAAAGCATCCGTACAATCATGGCTCCTGGTTTTAATTTTTAATTAATGTGATATTTTTGTATCAACTTCCAATGCTAATCGGCTGACTGAGCGTTGGAGAAAACTTGCTTTTTTTCAAAAACTGCTCTTTATTTTTCATATTTGGTTATTCCGCATTTTCTTTGCAATTGATTGCACACCTGTGAAGGGGTACAAGCCAGCTAGACTGATTCTCTGACCTTATTATTCCCCAACGTCTATAAATTGCTTCGTTTCATATTAAGTGGAGTCAGGGAACCAGACTACGAGAACATGATTGGTTTTCTTGGTCTTTCCAGCATCTGCAAGCCCAAAACGTGAAAAAAGTCAGCGCAACAGTATTTGCTTTAACATACTATTCCTCCAAATCCATTTATTTCTGAAAAAAATTACAGCAAAAGCAAATGTTGTACATTCCCTTTAATTATTTTACGAAAGCATACGAAATGCTGATTTATTTATTAACCAAGGATCTGCTTCTATGTTGTGCTGTTTTCAGATTGCATTAGCTGCAAATATGCTAGCGCAGTTTGCCGATGATAACAAGAACAGCGCCCTCATCCTGTGCGGTGATTTCAACACAGAGCCGCATATGCCAGCCTACCAGCTGCTGAGAGACGGTCGCCTCAGCGACCAGAGCGTAGAAACGCTCCGCAAGTTTGACGTCGTGCCGAAGGACAGTCCAAATGAGGTGTGCCTTTTGTACAGATTTCATAAACAAAGGGTGTCCAGCTGGACCCGAAAGTCTCAATAAACATTATTTTTATGTAGCGTACACAAAGTAGAATTACCATTGGTGCGTATGAATAATTAATCATAATTCCAAAACCCTTTAATCTATAGTCATGAAATTTCTTGGATGAGTTCATATTAAGTTGTCCTATACATGTACTGAGTTTTATAATTTTTCGTCACTCGATGGCCGAGGTCTGAGGAAAGCTGTGAGAGGGTCAAAATAACCCAGCCCCTTTAGAATGACGACATCAGAATAAGGTTAGCCTTAGAAAAAGTGCAAGCAATGTAAAGCCTTACGAAACGATTATTCAGATTTCAGGAAAAAAAAAACTCAATTCATGGCCTCTAAACAAATTAGCCCAGGAAGCAGTTCGATCAATGTATTGAGGGTAGCCTTTACAATAGTTTGATCACTGTAAGTTCACCAATTATGGTTGGCATTAGAAACAGCTTCATCAATTTATGACATTGTTTCACGTTCATTCTGATACTGTTGCAGAGCTTCACTCTTGTTGATCTAATGGCGGCATCCTTCCAGCATGGCATCCAGCATTTCCAAAGTGCTTATAAAACCATCATGGTAAGAACCAACCTGGCTTTTCTTTTCATCCCTTCTGAGGCAATTTTAATCAGAGGGTTTTCCTCCCTCCGGAAAAAAAACAAGCACTCTTGATCTCACAGGATGTGCTCTGCATCCTTCGCAATAAGCCTCTGTACTAATTACGTCACACTTTGTTTACATGTGCGCTTTCCTATGGAGCCAGTGGGGGCCCACTGAGCACCATAGCAAAGCAAACACGTAAATAAAGTGTGATGTCATTAGTACAGAGGCTTATTTAGGTGCTCAGCTGCCAGTAAGGATGATTAGCCTCCCAAACTGTTAAACTACTGAATACTTTGTGCGGGCAACAGATTTAGCTAGTCGCGTCTGCATTACGGTGACACGCCTTATTTGGGCGACAGTGTCGCCCTTTTGTTGAAACAACCCTAATGAGAAGGAATGTTACTGTTGCAAACCATCTAGATCGATTCTTCATGGTTCAAAACAAACCTGTACCAAAATTTATTGATGATGCACCAATGTTATTATCACTATTATTAAATGCCACTTTTGATATTATCAGTTGTTTCATTTAATGAAATCTTTTCATTTTTATTTTTCTCGTTTTTGAAAGGGGGTTGAAATCCCATTTTCGCAGTTCCACGACCCACAGGGCATCGAGTGGAAAGAACAGCACCAATTAGAAGACAACGTACAGCCAGAAACTGACGATGTCACACATGGGGACGACCAGTCAACGAGGCCGAGAGGGAAACGCATCAAAGCCCTGGACTACCTCTGGTTCAGCGCGGAGACCCTGCAATGCGACGGCGCCCTGGAAATGGTCGCCAGGGAGGTCTTGGACAATCTTTATGCCTGCCCGAACACCGTGTTTCCATCGGACCACCTTCTGATGAAGGCCAAGTTCCATTTAACGGATGTGGTTTCCTAAAAGGAAGTTGTTGTGGAAGACATCAAAGGGGGGGGGCCACATAGTACCAACTTGGAGGGTCCTCTACCATAAAAAAAAATACAAAATGCATATGTAGGGCTTGTAGCAACCAGGATAAATTTGTTGCCGTTTACTAAAATTAGAATTCATATTTGATCATTGATATTTGCGAATTGTTCTTGTTCTTCAATATATTCAAATTCAAGTTTTCTAATTGTTGCATTTCATTCACACCCAGTAGTTAAATTTAGACATACAACGACTCCATTTCCTATTTTTCATGAATATGCATGTTATTCCGTTGTTTGACCAATTAGCAACTTTAAAATTAGCATATCGATCATTACCATGGCCCCTGCCAATCAGAGCACTAACTTATTATTCAATTTAAATGCCACGTTTTTGTAGCGCACTACCAGCGCTCTCTTCTGCCTCTTTCTCAACATTGTTGCACCGCAGTTAAATTTTCTCAACGAATTTTGTTGCTCTTTTCACTAGCCTACTGTATTTTCCAGCTCTAGCTTTATGTCAAGAATTCTTTCACTCTTTGTGTGCACTTTCAGTAGAGCTCTACACGTGTAAACAGTGCTTTTGACTCATTTTTCATCGACTGCTCTCCGTGATTCAGCAGAGTTTTCGTCGTCTTGTGTACGTACGTGTTTACATGTACATACCATAGACATATAATAAAACCTAGACACGACATTTGCTATTGCGCCTGTGAGCAAAATGCTGCGCATAGTACACAAATGCTCACCACGGGCGTGACGCGTCGGCAAGAGAGCTATCTCACTGTGCGGATTATTTGGAATCATTTGGTCCCATACGCATGCGGGAAACAAAAAAACTAAGTGGTGCACAAGTGCATTGACGCTGGCCTGAACAAACTTGGGATATGTATAAAGTATGCGCATAAATCGAAGCCACATGATAATTTGCGCCAGGCCGTGTCACGCAGCCCGTTTTGCTCACAGAATTTACAACGTAAAAGCAGTTAAAGGTATAGTCCATCATTTGTAATTTGTGCATTTTGTTCGTTTGAAGCAACAAAAGTGCTCAAAATCTAAAGAAGGATACTGAACAACTAACCTGATGAAGTTTCAGCTCAGCTTCAGCTGTACATTCCGAGAAAAACAGCATTCTAAGATCTCAATTTCAAATCAAAAGTTACTGAATCATGTTTTGAATTGTTTTGAATTGCAGCTATACGCAACGTCGCGCACTGATCCGACGAATTATAACAACCGCGCGCGCGTGTGCGTCGTTCCAATACTTGTGCGCGCTGCGCTGAATAACAAAACCAACTACTAATTTAAATTTTCCTACAGTGCTTCTTAAGAATCACCGTTGGAAATGCCTTCTTTCGTTGATTACTTCAAAATGACAGCTTCCCAGAAAGAGTAATTTCACAGGGAGTTTAGTCCCTTACTATCTTTCAACCAAGTTTGTTTTTCAACAATAATTACGCCAGTTACTTTTCGGATGGCTGCAAATGATGGACTCTAGCTTTAATGTCGTGTCTAGGTTTTATTATATGTCTATGGTACATACACTTCGTGGTCATCAGCATTGCCGCCGTAGCAATAGCTCCAGCAACAACTTCATGAACTATCGCCAGTGACTTTCACCGCCGTAACAACAGGGAAACTATCGCTGATTCACCCGCACGCGCCAGCTGTTTCGTGCGTTGTAGACAGGGAGCCTGGGACATCGACAGATTTTGCGGAATCCTGATCTCCATTCTGATCCAGTGCTGGGCCAATTTCTGCAGATTTTGAAGCAGTCAAGAATGGTTTTCCCCATCCGATCAGCGATCAGCTCCTCCACGCGCTCGCCGACGTCCCCCGATTGGACCGCGACGTTCCTGACAGCCCCCGGTTGTTGCAGAACACTTTACGCAAACTGGACTGATTTAGGGCCTGCATTTTTCCCTGGGATCGCCTTTCATTCCTTGGGAAGGGAACTGCATTTTTCTGTTCATTTTATTGTAAATAGTTAAAACTGTCATTTACTATCCGGTTTTATTTTGTAATCAATAGTTTCTTTATTTTAATCACTGCAACTGAAGATAATAATTTACAAGAATAAATTTTCATTGAAGCATTTAATTTTGTGTCTGATCATTTAATTTCTCACACACAGTAAGTGCAAGTAAAATGTAGGATCCTTTTGAATTTTCTTTTGGAGATATTTAGCCACTTGACAGTTTTCCTGTTTATCAGAGGATTAATAATTTTCCCTACAGGCTTTTGCCATTTGAGAGGGGGGGGGGGGCCTTTGTTCGTACTAACTTTTTCGCAATATCTCGCATTGGTTTTGTACACATTTTCTAATCGAGGTCGTTCTCGATTTGGTTCCTGTCCTGGATTCACTGATGATGTTGCACGTGTGTGTCCTCGATTTACACCATAAACAAACGCACACGCCCACTGTACAACGACAGATTAAAAATACCCAAAAACATGAAATAAGGCACAGCCAAATTATATGTACCAACAAATATTCAAACAATTATTATTCAGAAAAAGTACAGATAGAACATGTACAGAAATGGGTAGTTACCATGCATACAAAGAGAATATAGATTGTAACAGTTGAAGACATAATAAAGGACCAACTATAATTCGACAAACCCAGACCAGACAAAACACAAACACACACACACACGTTTGTTTTACATACCTTGTCTGGACATTCCTTTGTTTTCATGTAATTAAGAAAAAACTGTGAACAAAACTCACTTTGCTAAAACTGGTTTATGTGGACATCTTTTGTTCGGAAGTCCACGCAGTGAATGTAATGCTGGTATACATATTGCACGACATGATAGATTAAAAATACCCAAAAATATGAAAATAAGGAACAGCCCAATTACATGTATATGTACATGTACCAACAAATATTTTACAAAGGTATTATTCTCGAGAAAAAGTACAGATGTCCTTTCCAATGAGATGATTACTGCAGTCCCTGCACCTCATTCTTGTCCTCGTCCTTGCGTGTTGCGCTCACAGCTCGGACTGTTCATCTCTTCTGTCATCTCTTTAAGCTCTAGCTGAAGTCCGAAGACCTCGTTCTTCCACTCTTCTTGCGTGGCCTGCAGAGACTCGCATCAGTCTTACTAACCTTCATGTTGTGCTCCCAGCTCTGACTATTCTCTTCTGTCCCCTCATCTCCCTCTGAAGGCCCAACTGAAGGCACAGATATGTGCGTGTCCTGACCATGCTTGCCAGTGCACCCTAGAGCATTGAGGAATGGGGGAACAGGACTCTAGTGACAAATGTAACCCTTGCTTGGCCATTGTTGCGTCGGACTGTTCATTTCCAGGATGAACAATGGTAAGAATGTATGTCTTCGCATTGCCCTCCAATGCGATAGTACCTTGTTCTTGATCTTTTTGATCTTTTTTTTGCAAAATTTAACATGGAGGTTAAATGACGCATGTCTTTCCATTCTAGCCAACATTTTTTGTGCGTTTTATTGCCAATTGAACAGTGTCACTGCCACCTTCATTTTAACTCTCTCTAGTACATGTCCGATGGAAGTTATAACTGGGTGAGATTTGTTCAATTCATTGGCTTCCGTGCATGTTCATGTAGGTGGCGTTTGAATGAGGAACTTGTGAAATATGAAATTTTTGACCCAGGATTTGGGCAGGGGATGTCTTCTCCAATGAGATGATTACATATCTTCATCTTGACTGAACTTTTTCATCTAAAAGTCGCTTTCCAGTTCTAAGGAAAGTGGCGGGTGATGGGGGGGGGGGGGATGGTGGATGGTGGGGGGGGGGGGGGACAATTTATTTCCAAAAGGATTTGTTTATTCTATAAAGAAAACACTCACCTCTGTTTACCTCATTGGAGGCGGAACTGCTGGGAGGGGGGCCAGGGGGGCTACTATTGGCCCCCCACTGTTTCCACTGCTCACTCCCCCTCCCCACCTCTAGGTAAATTCATCCAGACACACTGTAGTATCTCATCTGGGGAAACATAAAAACAAATTAAGTTTTATACAATGATCTCTTTCCGGGAAGGCCTACATAATTACTGCATACGCCATGGCATAGATTTCGGAACTGGAAAGGGGGAGGGGTATAGTGCAATATTCACCGTATTTTCAAGATTACATTCAACAGACTTATCGCTTGAAAAGCTGCTCAGTTCACACCAGACTTTGAAAAAGCGTTACAATCTTACAAGTTTAGTGCAGCATGAAAACATGATTTTATGGAAGTTAAGGTGAAATTAACTAGCCCGAGTCCAGCGATTGAAGTACCTTGTCACTTTGAATTTTTTGCCCGTTTTACATATAATTTCTTTACTTTTCAGCTGTATACACACGTGTGATGGCGGGAAGTCCGGGCAAGCCATTGTCTGATTGCATCGCGTTGTCGGCATGAACAGTGTCACTGCCACCTTCATGTTAACTCTCTCTAGTACATGTCAGATGGAAGTTATAACTGGGTGAGATTTGTTCAATTCATTGGCTTCGGTGCATGTACATGTAGGTGACGTTTGAATGAGGAACTTGTGAAATATGAAATTTTTGACCCAGAAATTTGGGCAGGGGATGTCTCAAAGCAAGATTTAAGCATTCCAGACGGTGTGTTGCTCTCTAAGGATGCACCGGGAAAATTTGGTCATAGTTCACCGGCACGGGCTGGCTGTGAGCCGGCCTGGCATGCCTACCCGCCCTGGCGTGCGGCCAGCCCGTGGCATAGGAAGCAATTCCCGGTGTTCATTCCTCATCGTCATCATCCCCGTAAATCCCGTCGTGGCTAGCGTACGTTGTTGTACATTGTGCCGTTCACAATCTTCATCGTCCATTATTTTTGAAGAATTGAATTTTTGTCACGTTTTGTGGCCATTTTTTTGGAAAGAATGCAGTATCCAGACGCCACTTTTTTGGGTGTGTAACATTTCTAAGTCTATGGATGGTTAGTGCATTTTCAAAGTACATTGTATTTTCCGACTTTTCAGTATTTTCAGTACCAGATTCATGTGGTTTCAATATTTTTGCCATGACTGACCTTCACTGCGATAATATATCATACGATGAAAAAAAGTGGCGTCAGGTTGCAACATTCTTTTCCCATTTTTTTAAAGGAACACTAGATCCTGGAACAGCCCAATCGGACTACAAAATGCGCTTTGAACGAGATGATGTTAATCGTAAATAACATTTGAAAGTAGGATATAAACATCCACACAACTATCCTTTCAAAACTGGGCATTTTTGTGTTATTCCTGTATTATGCGTGCGAGAACGAATTTCGGGGGCCACTTTTGCAACTCCATAAATTTGAGCTGTTTAGATGCTAGTTGTGATTTCATTCGTAAAGTGTTGGCCTTTTGCAGACGTTGAAGAAACTTTTTTTTTGCATTGGTGATTGGTCACCGCGCACTGTTCCCGAGATGCACAATGTGTATATCATACACTGAGAACCACACGAACATAATGACCGTTTAGCCGATTTTTGGCTAACTTTGACAGATTTTTGGTTAAAAAAGGAGTTGGACAGAAAATTCGACAGAGTGGATTTTTTGGCAAGATATCTGGCAGAATTCTGCAAAAATGGTAATTTGACAAAAAAACAGCAAATTTGCAAAAAAACAGGTACACTTGTTTACAATAGCTTCAATCTTTTCAAACAAACCCTTGCAAAAAAAGACAGGTTGCCCGGTCTAAGTGCTGAGGTTCACTGGGAACCAGATTTCGTTGTGACGCAACTCCATATGTTAATTGCCTGAAGTTTACGCAATTTCACATTATCTTTATGTGGCTATAGATTGTTTATAATATAATTTGAACATTAGTTAAGGCAACATTACAACAGCTGCATGTGATTTAAAGTGTTTATAGTGTATTTCGAGTTATTCTGGGGAATTTGGCAGATTTTTGACAAATCTGACCAATTGTTGAAGCGCATTTAGCAAATTTTGTCATGACCTTACGGTCACCCTGGACACGAAAAATGTATTCGTGCTCCGTCATGTCCGATGTAAACAGGCGTTTTTTTCCGTCTTTTCTCAGGAACAGTAAGACATTAGGTTGGTTTCCTTTCAACCAGATGTTTGAAATAGGCTAAGTAAAAAATCCAAAACGTAACATTTTTGGGTATTTTAAGGACCAGCGCCCCTTTAAAATAGCTTTCTAATAGCATAAATAGATATGGGTCTGTCCACACTAAATGTCACAACTGCACAACATGAAAAATAGCTCTCATTTAAACCATGTTAAAAGTCAAGAAATAAACTTCAATAATTGTAGTAGTAGTCATTCAATAGGAGAGATATAGTGTACATAATAATAAAGGATTTGGATGTTAGTTGTTGAAATAATGAGAAATTTGATAAAAATGTCCAGCTTATTTTGGGGGGTCCAGGTGGGACATGTATATAACTGTGTGTACTCATGTTTTTCAGGTTATGTAAAATAGGCATTAAAATGAGGAAAAAACACAGTTCATGGGTACTGAAAATGTTACAGATGAGAAATAAGTTGAAATCAAAAGCTCTATTTTTTTTTAAAATTAGTTTAAACAGGAATTTAAACGCAGAAAATTCAGCAATCACGTATGTCACGGCGTCTGTCCACAGAGTGACAAACGTGATACATGCTGTTTTTTCCATGTTATCAACAGCTAACTTCAACAAAAAATGTACATTTTGCTGAGGAAACTGCTCACCTTTAATGCATATACTTTTTTGTGGCTTTTTGTTCAGTTTAGAAACAAAAACACGGATCCATGTAAAAGAAATACAAATGTCTGTCCATTTTTGATCACGTATGTCACATGATTTAATTTCTTGCAACCATAAAAATCTTTAAAGACTAGTCTTATGAGTGCACATACATTGATAACAAAGGTATGTGCAATACAACTGCCATTATTTTATTATTAGAAGTCAGTCCATTTTGTTGAACAGTGATCGAGAAGATCGTCTGTCCTCAGCTCCCAGAAGGTGACATACGTGATACTATAGTGTATGCACATGTCTGTCCATGTAACAAACGTTACTCATTGAAACAAGACTACATGGTGTTCATATAAAATAAAGGAAGTCTTTATGTAATTAAGATTATTATAAACTAATTAAAAAAAATATTGGCTTACATAAATATGATCAATACTGTTTTCATTCTTAAATTTGACTTTAAAACACAAAAAGTCTGTCCATGTGACAAACATGATAAATGAGTCTGTCCTTGTGACAAACGTGATTCATTGAAACACAATTACACGCTGTTCATCTATTGAAGTAGTCTTTATGCAAATAAAATGATCACAAATTAACTTGAGAGAATAGTTAAAACGTTTGGGTAATTATCAGTCACATTTTTATTTCTTGTTAGAAATTTTATACACAATACAGTATGTCTGTCCATGTGACAATACATGTCCATGTTTAATACAAGTCAGCATTTATTCATGGTAATTTAATTATGTGGGTTGATCAGTCTTAAGAGATTGGAAATAGGAGTTTACAGGGGCCTTATCTAATAACCTTTAATGTTAAAATTATAATTTATTTTCTAAAAAAATTAACTAAGAAATTGTTTTGTCTGTCCATGTGACAAACATGACGCCCAATGTCTGCCCATGTAACAAACATGATATCAAAATCATGTCAGTATTTCTCACTTCCAGGTTATCACAGATTGATTGGCCAACGTAAACAAAATCTGCATAGGATTTTTAGGGCACTTACAACTCTGGTGTGATGAAAAGGGTCATCTTCGAGAAACAAACCAATCGTTAAAGCTGTTTTGTCTGTCCCAGTGACAAACGTGATTTTCTCTGCATCATCCACCTTGTAAATCCTGAAGAAAGACTACAGTCTCTTTGAAAGTTCCTTGAATATTAACATTGGGGTAGTAAATGACACCATATCAAGTGTGATTGAATTATATGTAATTTTGTGGAACTAGGATGAAGCGAAGAAATATGTCTGTCCCTGTGACATACGTTATGTCTTCAAGATTAACTTGCCATAACTTCTTAAACACTTTTTGAATTATCTTGGCCTTTCTTGGTTAACAAGCATACACATGGATGTTAAACACAAACCAAAAAAGAGGGGGGAAATTTGTTGTTCAAATTTCTCCAGCAATGTCCCACAATTGTGACATTTACTGTAGACAGACCCAAATACATGTAGTTCAGGCTGAAATTCGCATTGTAACTGAATATACAATGTGGCCAATGAGCAATATATGTAGTACATGTAGTCTAAAATACCCAGTGGGCCAGTATAAAATCCTGCGGGCTTGTAATACACTAAGTTATCTAGCCCGGTGGGATAGTTGAAAAAAAAAAAGCTTAAAGTCAAGGCCTGTCAGAGATTATGAAATTTTTTCCTGTCTTATTGATTGTGGTCACTGTTATATTGTACACTTTTACATGTGAACGCCAAATTAAAAGACAAATCCGTATGGTCTGTTATGCTGGCATAAACTGACAACAAGAAGATAACTCCAGAAAACTGGTGGTTGTGTATTTATGACATTATCTCTGGAACCACAGCGCAAGGAAGGGAGCTTTGTTTATTAAGGGGCACTGCGTCCTGAAATCCAGAATATTTTCATATTTTGGAGTGTTTGCTTATCCTATTTCAAACATCTGGTTGAAAGAACTTGACCGGCAACATAATGTCTTACCGTTCCCCCCAAAAAAATATGAAAAAAGTGGTTGTACATCTGACACGACGGAATAGACATATGTTTTTCGATACACAATGTGTATGTCACATATGATTCCACACAACACCAAATGCACGGATGTCACGTACGGTGTTTCTTACACTTCCGCAAAAGGTGGATACATATGAATAATTTATGAATTCATGACAACAAATTATTTATATCTCACCTGATCCATGTGCACATATCAAATGCACTAATGTGGTTTCTTACACGTCCGCAAAAGGTGTATACATAACGGCTAGAATCGCAACTAGCCGCAGCCCGTCTTTTGGGGGTCGCAAACGTGGACCTCCAAATCGATCTCCCACGCATAACACAAGATTATTATAACAAAATGCCCATTTTGTAACAGATAGTTGTGTGATGTTTACATTCTACTTTCAAATGTTTTGTAGTTTTTGTAGCCCAATTGGGCTCATTCCAGGATGTAGTTCCCTGTAATGACTCCCCACAGAGGTCCAAAATGGTGTGTCAAACTGCCTTCTTAAAGGGAATATACATCATTTGCTTTTGCTGTAATATTCAGAAATGGATGGAATTGGAGGGTTGGAAATATATAGCAAATATAGTTACACTGACTTTTTTTGACGTTTTGGGTTCGGAAATGCTATAAAAACCAAGAAAAACAATCATTTTTCTGTAGTCTGGTTCCCTGACTCCATTTAAGAAGAAACAGAGCAGTTTACATATATTGGGGATTGTAAGGTCAGGGAACCAGTCTAGCTGGCTTGTACCCGTTCATAGGTGTGTAATCGATTGCAAACAAGTGTGATGGTCAACTGGGGCCAGTATTTGGAGAAAAAAAACCATTTTTCCAACGCCGATCGGCCGATTTTCTTGAAAATGACAGTATACCACTTGCCATTATTTTACAGGATGCTTTACACTGTCATTCACTCACAGTCCAGCAAGGTATTTCAAAATGATTTGGTAGATTAATTTTTTGATGTTTGCAAATGTTGTATTTTCCCTTTAAGAGGGCCGTTTTTACTATTTTTCCTTTATCAATAATGTATGAATTCATAACAACACATTACTTATATCTCACCTCTCTATTGGCGCACTCGCCTTCTTGACATTTGCACGATTTCCTGCATTTAATATTAAACCTCTTGCAATTTGCACATTCCAGTTTGGCACCCGCTGGTGCATCGGCATGGTCGTTGTGGCTGCAAAAAAACAAAAAAAATCCAATCCAATCCAATCATATATAAAAGCATCACCAAATAATGCCACAGTTTGTTCTGTTGTATATTTTACATTACAAATGGAAGTGCTGACTCAATACATTTCTAAACTGCAAAATGCATGTGTGTAGTAAACCATAAAAATGAGATCATAGTTATAAAGTTGACTCTCGTAAAAACAAACTCAGCGCGGACCTATCGAAAAAATCAGAATATTATGAGAGGAATGTCGGTCCCATTCATCAGTGAATAGAAAGCAAAGTTCGGGACCAAGGCTTTATAATGATTATATTCAGAATTTGTATTAACAATGTTTTTTATCTCACTTCCGGTGAAGTTCAAGCGCTTTTGTGCCCGGGAATAAGAATTGTTGCTCGAGGCATCATTTATAACCTCACGCAAAAATGAACACGACATCTCCATTTAGTTCTAAAGATAGCTAAAACTGTTAATGTTCGCAAATTTGGCCCTTAAATTGCTTGTCACTTGATAACCGATGACGTCATGATGAAGTCAGATTTGTTTTGGCATCGGACGAGGGTTCAAGTTCACACCAGATTTTATCGAAATCCCATAAATCACTTGGAAGAAATTCGGACCGTTTTGATTTTGAGGCTTCTGTTTATATTTTAAATTCACCTTTGACCTTACTTCCAGTTGACCCAGAAGTAAAGGTCAAGCGAGTTCACGTACACGACAGAAAAATGTTTATCAATTGGTCTATCTGATTACAGAATACGAACATTGAATATTTTGTTCGAAGGTTAAAGGTGAAAGCAGTTGGTCACTTTTTCAGATAAAATCACTTGTAATTTGACACCTGATGACGTTACCATGATGTCAGCACAATGTGCACCACTTGAGATAAGGGTCGATATATGTCAAGCGTTACAAGTTCATAACATATACCGTTTAGGAGAGAACCTGCGCAGAATGATTAAACAAAGAATAATCGGAACAATTCCAAAAAATGGTCGGGTTGTGCCCGACCACTCAATAAAGTCCCCCCCCCCCCCCCTCCGACACCCAAAAACAATTTCACTGGTATGTATACGCCTGTGGAATTAATACGGACATATCCAGCTGGGTTACGGGGGCAGTGTGTGTACACTGTTTTGAACAGCGCCCCATTGAAAGTATGGTACGAACCCCCCGCCCCCCTCACCCCAACCCCACACACACTTATTGATTTTTAAGTACCAAAAAACCTGTCTACATTTCAGCATTGATTTGCAGATGATGAAATCCCCCCCCCCCCCACCCGAAAACATTTTCGTTTGCCCCCCAGACTTTCCCAAGTGCCCCTTTTGCGGCCATAAATGTGGCCCCTCAAGCATTAAAGTGTCCCCTCGAGATAAATAAAACATGCCCTTAAAGTATCTTACTATTTATTAGAAGTAGCGATTTCCCAATAATGGTCGAGATATTTTTGATCTAAACGAGGAATATGAAAACCAAGTCCCAAAACCCATACAAGACGCCCTGAAAATGGGCACATAATGTATATTTAGCATGTAATCATTGGTTTTGCAGAGCGCCCCCTATGTTGGAAGATGGTACCAGCCCCCCCCCCCCCCCCCCCCCCCCCCCTTCTCTCTATTTGATTTTACGGAGGCCAAGTGTCCGGTGAAAAAAACGTGGCGGCATTTCAGCACGGATTTGCAAGTGCCCCTTTTGGTTTGCAAGTGCCCCTTTTAGGTGCTGCCCCCCCCCCCCCCCCAGTTTCAAAACCCGTTCCGCCGCTGCTGTACTAGCTGATATTTTCACAGTGGAATACATTGTCTTGGATTTTAACGGACTGGATCTCTGATGCCTTATCAATGGGATTTAATTGGCTGAGATTGGAGTAATTATTTCATTGGATTTGTAGTGATTTGGAATTGTCAGTTGGAACATATTTTGACTGGAATCTCAGTAGCCCAGGTTGGACTCTGTTGTGTACACAACGGAGTCTAACCTGGGCTAGGCTACTGCAATTCAGGTCATATGCGACAAAGACGTCGGCCAACCTGGGCTAGGAATTCAGTATCAATGGTGGAATATAGCACTAGACATACTGCTGGACCTGTACTACTACTCATGCTTAGTACTACTGGAGCATCATTAGGCGAGGTGTGTGTACTCTTCATTCGTTTCCATGGTTTCAGCCTTGGATTTTTCTTTAAATTTCAGTAAATTTAAGTGGGCAATTAGGCCCCCTAGGTCCTAATTTCCTGTAATTAGTCTACAGTCGTTTTCCTAGTTCCGGATAGCAAACATCATTCAGGCTGCTTTCGGCTCCACTACTCCATGAATTCAAGTGACATTGATTCAAAAGTTTACCTTGAGTGATGGAGAGACCATGAAATAATTTTCAAAATTTAAACTCTTTTTATTTTGATTTTACGACATCAAACGTACCGATGTCACTTTTCCTAGTTTCGGATTAGTTCAATCAGTTCCAAATCCATCAAAACTGCTTCACGCGAAAAAAATATCACGCAAGAACATTATTTTTTGTTCAGCCAGAACCATAGAGCTATATTAAATTACCAGAGCGCTTACTTCATGTACAAAGTAATGCCTGCTGGGCGCATCCATGTTTGTGCACAAACCTATGGAGACCTAGAAATTTTGTACGGCTTTTGTACGACTATATTCACATCTGCGTTTGTATTCCAAACCGGTGCGTTATCGAAACCAATACACCCATAACCAAAAAGCACAATCAGCAAATGAGCGTGCCTTGCTCAACGCGAACAGCGCAATGCGTGCGCGTATTCACTGCAGATGCTTTTTTAAAATGGTTTTTTTGAACCGTTAATGATGCGCTTAAGTTGTATGGCCAGAACCAACCGAATCAAGCATATTTTCTGAAAAAGTATTATTTCATTTTCGAAAACTAGTTCATTCAAGAGAATTCCAGCAAATTATAATAAGAGAAAAAAAAGGAAATGATTTTGAAACTTGTCTGCCGCGCAACGGCTCAAACTCTTTCAAGCCGTTGCGTGGCAGACAAGTTTCAAAATCAGGCACGAACCGAAAATCTTTGACCCAGCACAGAATACGTCACACAAAATCAATTAACGCCCGTGTAGTTGGGTCGTAAGTGCACGCGTTATCCAGAACTAGGCAAAAGCATACGGTCATTCGTTGGCAAATTTTCAAAACTAAGAGACTCTACAACTTATTTTGATTCAACAAGCATTCGATGGAAGAGTTTATACGATTGTTGTGTATGAACAAAATATTCAAAATCACACGGTACAAGTGATTTACCGAGGAGAAAATTATCGTCGTTTCGCAGCTCCCGCAATTTTCTAAAAACCGTCCAAACATGTCAAAGTGCGAGTTGGAAATCTGGCCAAATTTCCTCTTCTAAAGATTTTATCGAAAAAATCTTTGTGCATCAAAGGAACTTACATTTTCCTTCTCAAAATGCACATCGTCAGAAAAAAATTTATGGGAGACTAATCCAAAAGAGGTAGGTTTTTATTTGAAACTATCCGGAACTAGGAAAAATCCGGAACTGGGTCATTCCCAGTGACTGGGAAAAGGCGATGATTTATTCCCCAAAACATTTGTTTTTCTTAAAAGTAAAAAACACTAATCTCCGTTTACAGCACTGGCAAACCATATTGGGAGGAGGACCAGGGTGGCCAATACCGGCCCCCGCCTTTTACACCTCATTAAGAACACTTGCTTTTTTTCCCGGGTGTACATTGCGATGACGCATGCATATTGCCCCCTAACAGTCCTAGTCCTTTTGCAAACATGATTTGTAACGGACACAAAAAGAGCAATGTAATTCTAACTTTCTTTGTAGCAAGAATGTGATCATGAAATACCTCACTTGACTGTAAGTGAATTTCTTTTGAAATCATGGCACCTGCCGTGCTTTCATAAGTGGGATTTTTTTTTTGTTCAAAGGTGACGACTTACTTCCAAAAAGGATTTATTAAATTCTAGACAGAAAACACTCACCTCGAGCGGCGATGCCTGTGGGAGGGGGGCCAGGGGGCCGATATTGGGCCCCGAACTGTTTCCACTACTCACTACCCCCCCCCCCAACACTCTTGGCGGGTTCAAGAATAGAGTAGGCCCTACATTTGGGTAAGGAACAAAAACAAAATAGTATATAATGGTCGGTTTCCGAGCAGGCCTACAAATACACAGGGTCCGCAATAAGCGGTATCGCATCGCAATTTGCGACACATTCGAGGCCGACTGCGACGCAATTTTTAAAGTGCATCGCAAAACTGCTATACAACATTTTGATCATGAAAAGTTGACACAAAGTGTACTTGCCACCAAATTTCGGTCCACTGAATTCCACAACTATCGGACATGGTAAACATCCATCATGTTTTGATTTAGTTAAGCTTAAATACTGAAAAAGAACGTCAATTTTGTTCAGCTGTATAAAATCTGTACGTGTTTAGTTTGTAAACAGGCGGCGTCTGATAACGAGACCACGTGATAAACGCAGCTAATAATTTGGAATCGCGCTTATGATCCGGACATAAGGAATGCCCGGAGCGTCAGTGCGATACCAAATTATCCACAGCATGTATCACGTGGTAAATCACGTGCATGATCGGGGAGGTTGCGGGACGTACGTCGAGATTTTACCTCGTACTTTGAATCTGCTGCGACTGTGCGAGGAATAATTTATGGATTTATAAAAGAAATAACACGTTTGTACACTATCTGGTCAAGTATTCAACAAACTTTATTCTTATTCGCACTCACTGGTAAATATATGCATGAAATGAGTATTTTGGTGGCTAAAAAAGTTACATGCACGTCGTGCATGCTCAGTAAAAAAGCGTGCCCAAGCTAAAATCTACATGCGTGCACCCGGGTAAATCGAGCCCTTTTCTCATCACTATTCTTTAGATATTTGTCGGTTTATCTTAAACATTTTGCCGACACGGAAAACGGGTTTACCCCTTCAATTAATTCACTTGATACGCACGTGGGATTCGTGGGAACTAAAACGTCAAAATCCCAGCTGTGTTGTCGTTTGTGCGCTGTGTAGCATATTGATGAAAACATGGCTACTCACGAAAACTACCGGTATCAAGGCAAATACTGCCAATAATTGGCAGGCGGATCTAGACCCGGGGCCAGGAATGGCCCGGGTTAATAAATTGCTTTTTCACTCGAAAGTTATTCCAGCAAGCATGCAGCTCCTGAAATAAACAGACAACTGATGAGTCATTAAGTTCACAGCTTAACGTAAGTTACTTCTTATTGCTTTGTAATTTGTACAGTCTGACACTGACAGGTAAATAGTAATTGCAAAGCCGAGGCTAAATTTGAGTATAACAAAACTGCTATGCAAAATTGGTAAACTGCTATGCAAATCAAAATTTGCATAGCAGTTTTGCTATACAAAAAAAAATCCTTAAGGCTTACCCTGCAAATACATGTTCTGCAATTGACATGGTATAGATTTTGGAATCGGGGGAGGGGGAAGGAGTTCTTCACCGTATTTTTCTTTTCTAAAAGGACACCTTCTTTTGACGGATAAGGTGAAGACCCACCCTTCCCCTCAGTTTCAAATCTCTACGGTAGCGGCTGGTTTGCTAATTTGCATCATTAATGTGAGGAATGAAAAACATTTTTTTTTTTACATTTCTTGCACGTTCCTGACTGTCTCCAGTTTTTCTGGTTTACTGGACTCTTAAAAGAGTTATACTTCCAAACCTATAGCATTGCTATCTCTGCAGGTTACCTGGGTGATTTATATTTTGATGCAAAATTTATGCAAACGTTGCATTATTTCAAACCCATCACAAGCAATATATATTGCTGTGGCCTCGTGGTTAAAGGCACCAATTCGTGGTCTGTGGGTAAAGCTGCAGGTTGTGGGTTCAAGTCCTGGCAGGGTCATGGTGCGTGTGCCCTTGGGCAAGGCACTTTGTCACTCATTGCTTCTCTCCACCCAGGAGTAAATGGGTACCTGTGAGGGCAGAGATGTTATTGTGATTGAATTAACTTCCTTGCGCCAAACGGGCAGCATCGAGCTGTATACTCCCCAGGGAGCTGAGATGGTATTTGGAATGTTTCATGGGCCCAATGAGCAGGGGTAATAATGACGTAGCGCCTTGAGCACCAGTCCTGGTGAATACGTGCGCTTTGTGAATACCCACTATTATTATAAATATCATTATAACACACAGCATTTTGGCTGGTAGCCCGCTCTTGCTCATCACCACATATACACTCAGCCCAAAAAGAAAGTCCCCCCTTGATACTTTTTTGTATTTACAACTCAAAAACTACTGGGCACATCTTCTCTAATTACGACTGTTCAGTACAGAAATTCCTTAGCAATCCAGCCATACTCTTTTTTGGCCTAAACAGTGATGTGTACAAAATTATGCGATTTCTGACAAATGGGCTCCAAAAAAAGTTGCACTTTTGTATACGTGCAAGGTGATTGTGAACCAAAACTTGTACATATACAAAAGTCCAACTGTTTCCAGTATCATTTGTCATAAATTGCATAAGTTTGTACACACTATCACTGTTTTGGGCCAAATAGTACACACTATCACTGTTTTGGGCCAAATAGAGAGTATGGCTGGATTGCTAAGGAATTTCTGTACTGATTAGTTGTTATTCAAACGAGAGGTGCTCAGTAGTTTTGAGGTAGAAATGCAAACAAATGTTGGAAGGGGGGACTTCTTTTTTTGTTTGAGTGTATTTCCCATCCTCACTACATGTGTGTGATGCTTTTTAATAAAGCAGATCCATAAACATTGGCAACTAAATCTTCAAAGCTATACTTACTGCAGTGCAGCTTGGCCAGCTGAGCTTTATCGCCTCCATGGATTCCAAAAGCTGCAACAAAGAATCGTTTCAACAAAGAGATCTATCACTTTAAAAATTAAACATTTCTGGTTCTCAGAACTATCCACCATGGTCAGCGTGCCTTTGCCAAGGAAGCATTGCCTTTTGGAATCAACTCCCTGCCACGCTCCGTCAAACAACATCCCAAGACATCTTCAAACAAAAACTGAAATCTACTCCACTAGTTACAAACATTTCACTTGGACTAGAGCATGACTATTGTTTGTGTGTATAGAAGTACGTGGCGTAGCCTGGTCAATTTTATTGGGGAGGGGGGGTAAAAAAATGTGGAAAAGGGCACTTGCACAAATGTGGTGAAATGTAGACATGTTTTTTTTTCTCCGGACACCTGGCCTCCTTGAAATAAAAAAAAGGGGGGAGGGGGTGTTCAAAACCAACATTATGCACACTAACGGACAATGGTGCTTTTCAGGGCGAAACATGTGAATTTTTCTTAAAAAGGCACCCAGAATGGCAGATGACACAAAAAGGGCATCACCTCTTTTTAAAAAGGGCACTTGTTCAGAAAAGGGGCACTTCTTGAAAAAAAGGGCACTAGTCTATACAAAGTGCTGGTGAAAAAAGCAGTGATCCAAATGTCTATTGTTCTGGAACATTTGAGAGTTATGGATCAACCAGGGCAACTTTTGGGTGGATTTGTGTTTTAGAAATTGGAATTCAAGAAAAATGTATTAATTTCGTCCATCGAAGCATGGAGCGCAAATTTCCAAATGTCATAGCGTATTGCATTGACCCCCGGTGGAAGGATGAGAGGTGCCTTCTATGTACCTGAACCCTTAAGAAGTACCAAACGACACCAAATTGAAAGGGATAATGTTGTCTCACCATATTCATACAACCATGATGCAGCCTACTCAAATGTGAACCCCGTTTAGCTTTCATGCCGAATTCCTGACCGCGAGTGAGTGTAGTCAGGCCAGCCACTGTTAGGCCATGTGTGCGAGTGCAAAATGACGCGAGTGCGCGTTGATCTTGTGTTGTTGCGCCCTCAATAAAATGTACATACGGCCAATTTCCAAGGCAGAAAACCCATGCACCCAAGTATTCAAATTCCCATAGACACCAGTGCTAAATTACGGAAGCGTTAATTAAAGGGACAGAAAAAAAAAAAAAATAAGTCATCATTATGACTTATTATTAAGTCATAGTTATGACTTATATTTTATAATAATGACTTAGGCCTAACAAAAAAAATGGTGTGTTTACGGTAACCCGACCGACCTGGAATTTTTGGCCAAATTGCCGACCTCAACTTTTTATTGCCATTTTGAAGGTTGATATTGATCATTTTTAATGAACAAATTTCAAAAATTTCAAGTACTTTTAATTATTTGCCACGAACATAGAACATTTTCCACACTTGAAACTGACCATGATTTGACACAAACGTGACTGTGTTCAACGTGTGAAAATCGCGACGATCTCAAACTTGAATTCTCAAACTACATGAAGTACCATTATTTTTGCACAAACGCATCGGGGTGAACTGGTGCGCCTGGCCGACGGACAGCAGGCTTCTCCCCACGTACAAACGTGCGTACTGCGAATCAGCCCGACAAAAATGCCGATCCGCACAATATAATTATTATTCACGCCATTAAAATGCACAATATAATCGTTACATACGCCATTATTTCATCTTGACATGCAAAATCTTGACAAAAATCCTGTTTTTCCGATGCATGTGTGATCAAAATGCACACAATGACGGGTTCTGTCGACTGCCAGCTGACAGGCATGCAGCGCATACAGCATGGTGCACTGGTTCCCTTCGCGTGCTAACGAAATCAATACTATAATGGAGGACCGGAACCAGTGACTGCTGCCTATACAAACGTCGTAACACGATGATGTTGTGCCGTCGGCCGAAGTTGGATCGTAAAAATACCAAACAAACATCGATGGAGAAAGAGAATTTCTGCGAATTAATTCACAGAACATTCTTCATTTTCTGTGTATGTGTTTTCCATTAAAATGACGAGATCACAAAGCTCGAACTTGTGGCGTAACATCGTAGCGTGTTTCTGCAGTAGTGCAAGATTTTTGGCCACTTGGGATGGGCCGTACACAGTGCAGTAATGCACACTGATACTGGGCCGTGAGCACGGCGCGATGTACGGCCGGCCAGACTGAATGTCGGCGGCGCCAGCGGCCGTGATACATGTTAAGCATATAGTGGAATCACCCACCTCAAAAATATTTTTTATTAGGTGAAGCAAGTTTTAATCACTTTTGATGTAATTTTCGTGGCGCAAATGAAAATAATCCAGGCACAAAATAAACATGATTCCTTGCTCTATGATGCTTCAATAATCGGCATCCCAAAAAAATTGGCAAAATAATTTTTCCCGACCTATTTTGAAAGGCATGTAATCAGAAGCAAAAGGATTTTTTCTTCACCTTAATTTGAAACTTATTTGTAAATGTAATTTTAATTTTTTTCTTTAATTACGAAAATAGGGGCCTACAAGATCTTCTCTCAAAAATTTTCGGGGCCCTTAAAAAGCGGCCCCGAACCCCACGCCATGGCTTCGCAGGTTGTTGAATCATAGCAAAACTTCCCCCACAGGTTTGAAAAAATCCCGGGGAGAACCCTGGGACGGTACAAATTAATTTGGAATGAAATGTATCGATTGAGTATCTTGAATGCTTGAATAATGTTTTTATACAAATATTTTGCAAATGAACACGCATGAACCTGCAGAACTGAAATAAAAAAAAATTTATAAAAATAAAATTATTTCCCTACAGGTCTACCTACCTGGATTTTTTTTCAGACCGTTACCGTAAACACACAATTTTTTTTGTTTGGCCTTAGTATTAAGTCATAATTATGAGATATCAAATCCAATCCCTAACTGTGATTCGAATTACAATGACTATCTTCATAATTCCAATCCTTATTCAATTTTTTTTGAACCAGTAACTGAACATGAAATGTTCACTATTGTTTCTAATTTAACTAACAAGAAAAGCTCTGGCCATGACTCGATGGACAGTACTGTTATTAAAGCTATTTTTCCATTAAGTTCTGGTATAGTTCCTGATTCCATGAGAATTGCCAAAGTTATTCCCGTTTTCAAGACAGGTGATTCTAATTAGTTAATAATTATAGACCTATTTCTATCCTAACTTCCTTTTCAAAAATTCTTGAACGTATAATTTATATTCGTACATGTATCTCAGTTTTTGTTGAAACACAATGTTTTATCTGATTCTCAATATGGGTTTAGGGAGAACCACTCAACCACTCGTGCTATCTTACAAGTGTTAGATACAATTATCGCTGGTCAGGAACAGTCTTTACCTACTTTGGGAATCTTTCTGGACCTCTCCGAGGCATTCGACACAATCAATCATGACATTCTTTCGGCTGAACTTTCTTTTTATGGAATTAGAGGAATTGCCTTGGTGTGGTTCAGGAATTACCTCACTAACCGTAAACAATTAGTTTATTTTAATGACAATCAGTCTTCTGCTAGAGATCTATGTCAGTGGAGTTCCACAAGGATCTCTATAAGGACCTTTGCTTTTTTTCTATTTACATTCATGATTTTGATAAATCCTCTAGGATCCTGTCATTCATTTTATTCGCAGATGACTCCAACCTATTTTATACTGTGATGAACCCAGAATGCCTGATTATTGAAATCTAGCGCCCTCTGGTTTCACTCTGTCCATGAAGTACACAATCTTATTGTTGTCTTTTACTGTTCCCTTATTTTAGCTATTTATTGTAAATTGCCAACTTGCACTTTTATTCCCAGGGTCTCTTACCAAGCACAGCGCATGATACAATAAAGTTCAATCTATAATTTAATAGCAACTTAACGAAACAGCTTGAATTCTTACACAGGGAGTATATAGAATAAGCACACAAAATAATGAACAACTTTAAATCGGTTTTTCCTGAAACACAAAAAAGTGCAACCGACGAATTGTACACCCTCTACTTTAGTTTTGGACTTGTTCTGTGGTCATGTGTAACATTTTGATAGGACAGGTGTGTGACATTTTGCAATTAAATTTATGCTAATTTATGCACACAAAAACCTCTTGAAATGACATTTGCATCTTTACTTGCAGGTACTAGTGACACTTTATTGAACAATAATCCTTTGTATTACATCACGTAAAATCATTTCCCCCCCCCCCCAATAAATTAGTTCAAATTTTTAAAGAAATCCCTCAATCTGTACAAAGAATATCATCAAAAACTGGACTGCTGCAAACCTGGTTAGGCAAAGAATATGATTTACAAAATCCACCTTTTTTTTTAAGACAGGCCTTCAAAAGGACTTTTTGAATATTTTTTAACTGTTAAACTGAGGTTTAATCACTAGTGATGTTTGAAGACAATTGTGACGACCATTCATTAAATTGCATTTTTGGATGAAAGAGGTTTTTAGGGTAAATGGTGATATGCTTTGAACGGATTGAGCAATTTCAGTAACTTTTTCATGTAAAAGTCGCTCTTCAGTTCTAGGGAGAGTGGCGGGTGATTGGGGGGGGGGGGGAGGGGGCAGTAGAGTTAGGGTAAAAAGGATTTGTTTATTCTATTCAGAAGACACTCACCTCTGTTTACCTCGTTGGAGGTGGAACTGCTGGGAGGGGGGTCATGCAGGGGGCCACTATTGGCCCCCCCACCTCTAGGTAGATCCAAACACCCATAGTATCTCATCTGGGTAAACATAAAAAAAAGTTTTACACAATGATCTCTTTCCGGGAGGGCCTACATAATTACTGCAGTTGCCATGGCATAGATTTCAGAAATGGGAGTGGGGGGGGGGGGGAAGAAGGGGAGAGTGCAACACATTTTTTTTATTTTCAAGATAACATTTGACAGACTTTACCGCTTGAAAAGCTGCTCAGTTCACACCACACTTAAGAAAAGTGTTACAATCTTACAAGTTCAGTTACAACATGAAAACATGATTTTATGGAAGTTAGAAATTTAAACTAGCTCGAGTCTAGCGATTGAAATACTTGTCACTTTGAAATTTTTGCCCGTTTTACACATAATTTCTTTACTTCTCAGCGGTATATGTAATGGTGATACTGCACTGATTGAGCGATTTCAGTAACTTTTTCATCTAAAAGTCGCTCTCCAGTTCTAGGGAGAGTAGCAGATGATGGGGGGGGGGGGGGGGGGAGATAGGAGGATGCTGGGGGAAACAATTTATTTCCAAAAGGATTTGTTTATTCTATTAAGAAAACACTCACCTCTGTTTACCTCATTGGAGGCAGAACTGCTGGGAGGGGGGTCGGGGGCCACTATTGCCCCCCCCCCCCACTATTTCAACTGCTCACTCCCCCCTCCTCCAACCTCTAGGTACTATAGTATCTCATCTGGGGACACATCAAAACAAATTAGGTTTTACACAATGATCTCGATCTTTCGGGGAAGGCCTACATAATTTCTGCAGTTGCCATGGCATAGATTTCGGAACTGGGAGGGGGGGAGGAGTGCAACATCCACCGTATTTTCAAGATTACATTTGACAGACTTACCGCTTATAAAGCTGCTCAGTTCACACCATACTTAAGAAGTGTTACAATCTTACAAGTTTAATACAACATGAAAACATGATTTTATGGAAGTTAGAAATTTAAACTAGCGAGTCCAGCGATTGAAGTATAAGGTCGAGGCCTGTCAGAGATTATGAAATTTCCTGTCTTATTGATTGTGGTCACTGTTATATTGTACACTTTTACATGTGAATGCCAAATTAAAAGACAAATCCGTATGGTCTGCTATGCTGGCATCAACTGACCACCAGAAGATAACTCCAGAAAACTGGTGGTTGTGTATTTACGACATTATCTCTGGAACTACAGCGCAAGGAAGGGAGCTTTGTTTATTAAGGGGCACTGCGTCCTGAAAACCAGAATATTTTCATATTTTGGAGTGTTAGCTTATCCTATTTCAAACATCTGGTTGAAAGAACTTGACCGGCAACATAATGTCTTACCGTTCCCCCAAAAAATACGAAAAAAGTGGTTGTACATCTGACACGACGGAATAGATATGTTTTTCGATACACAATGTGTATGTCACATATAATTCCACACAACACCAAATGCACGGATGTCACGGTGTTTCTTACACTTCCGCAAAAGGTGGATACATATGAATAATTTATGAATTCATAACAACACATTATTTATATCTCACCTGATCCATGTTTTTCATGTCGTCTGTGCACTGTGCGCATATCAAATGCACTAATGTGGTTTCTTACACGTCCGCAAAAGGTGAATACATAACGGCTGGAATCGCAACTAGCCGCAGCCCGTCTTTTGGGGGTCGCAAAAGTGGACCTCGAAATCGATCTCCCATGCATAACACAAGATTATTATAACAAAATGCCCATTTTGTAACAGATAGTTGTGTGATGTTTACATTCTACTTTCAAATGTTTTGTAGTTTTTGGAGCCCAATTGGGCTCATTCCAGGATGTAGTTCTCTGTAATGACTCCCCGCAGAGTTCCAAAATGGTGTGTCAAACTGCCTTCTTAAAGGGAATATACATCATTTGCTTTTGCTGTAATTTTCAGAAATGGGTGGAATTGGGGGGTTGGAAATATAAAGCAAATATAGTTACACTAACTTTTTGGAGGTTTTGGGTTCGAAAATGCTATAAAAACCAAGAAAAACGATCATTTTCCTGTAGTCTGGTTCCCTGACTCCATATAAGAAGAAACAGAGCAGTTTACATACATTGGGGGAATTGTAAGGTCAGGGAACCAGTCTAGCTGGCTCGTACCCGTTTATAGGTTTGTAATCGATTGCAAACAAGTGCAATGGTCAATTGGGGCCAGTATTTGAAAAAAAGCCAGTTGTTTCCAACGCTGATCGGCCGATCAGCGTTGGAAATTGATACAAAAATACCACTTTTCTTGAAAATGACAGTATACCAGGTGCCATAATTTTACAGGATGCTTTAGACTGTCATTTACCAACATCCTGTTAAGGTATTTCGCAAAAACTTGATAGTTTTATTTTTCGATGTTTGCAAATGTTGTATATTCCCTTTAAAGGGAATATACATCATTTGCTTTTGCTGTAATTTTCAGAAATGGATGGAATTGGGGGGTTGGAAATATATAGCAAATATAGTTACACTGACTTTTTTGAGGTTTTGGGTTCGGAAATGCTATAAAAACCAAGGAAAACAATCATTTTTCTGTAGTCTGGTTCCCTGACTCCATTTAAGAAGAAACAGAGCAGTTTACATATTTTGGGGAATTATAAGGTCAGGGAACCAGTCTAGCTGGCTTGTACCCGTTCATAGGTGTGTAATCAATTGCAAACAAGTGTGATGGTCAACTGGGGCCAGTATTTGAAAAAAAACAACCGTTTTTTCCAACGCTGATCGGCCGATTTTCTTGAAAATGACAGTATACCAGGTGCCATTATTTTACAGGATGCTTTACACTGTCATTCACTCACAGTCCAGCAAGGTATTTCAAAATGATTTGGTAGATTAATTTTTTGATGTTTGCAAATGTTGTATTTTCCCTTTAAGAGGGCCGTTTTTACTATTTTTCCTTTATCAATAATGTATGAATTCATAACAACACATTACTTATATCTCACCTCCCTATTGGCGCATTCACTCTCCAGGCATTTGCAGGATTTCCTGCATCTTATGTCCAATCGTTTGCATTTGCACATTCCTGTGTTGCAGCCGCCGTTACACCGGCATGGTCGTTGTGGCTGCAAAAAAACAAAAAAAATCCAATCCAATCCAATCATATAAAAGCATCATCAAAATAATGCCACACTTTGTTCTGTTGTATATTTTACATTTCAAATGGAAGCGCTGACTCAATACATTTCTAAACTGCAAAATGCATGTGTGTAGTAAACCATAAAAATGAGATCATAGTTATAAAGTTGACTCTCGTAAAAACAAACTCAGCGCGGACCTATCGAAAAAAATCAGAATATTATGAGAGGAACGTCGGTCCCATTCATCAGTGTATAGAAAGCAAAGTTCGGGACCAAGGCTTTATAATGATTATATTCAGAATTTGTATTAACAATGTTTTTTATCTCACTTCCGGTGAAGTTCAAGCGCTTTTGTGCCCGGGAATAAGAATTGTTGTTCGAGGCATCATTTATAACCTCACGCAAAAATGAACACGATGTCTCCATTTAGTTCTAAAGATATAGTTAAAACTGTTAATTTTCACAAGTTTGGCCCTTAAATTGCTTGTAACTTGATAACCGATGACGTCATAATGAAGTCAGATTTTTTTTGCATCGTACGGGGGTTCAAGTTCATACCAGCACTTACCCCCCCCCCCAATATTTATTTTACCAAGTGCCTTTCAGACTGGCCAAACAAACCAAGTAATACGTGATAATTATACACTATTAACTCTTTCAGTGCCCACGAAATTAGAAAAGTTTAACCCTAAAGTACTCACTAAATTTGTTGTTGTTGCTCTCTGGTATATCCTTAATATATTGGAAAGTCAAAAGTGATACACCCTGAAACACTGGCCTGAACACAGGGGAATTCCGCACTTTTTGCAGAAAATACGAGATTTAGTGCTGCGCCCTCTCGCAAGAACTCGAATGAAAAAATAAATACAGGTCGTACATGCATGAAAATGGTACCATTAGAAAGAGCGAGAGCGCCCTCTTTTGATAACATACTTACTCTACCTCGTTCATGTATGAGGTTTGGCAATTTTAAGTACGAACATTACCTCGTACATGTACAAGGTTGGCCCTTTTGTACTAACAAATATACCTCGTACATGTACGAGTTTGGCACTGAAAGAGTTAATTCCACATTATAAGTTTTGTGAACTGCAAGATGCATGTGTGTCGGCGACTTTGGGTGGAGGTGACTGGGGGAAACGACTGGGGGGGGGAGAGGCTACTTTTTAGGGGGGGGCGAAGCCGACTGGGGGGCAGAGCTGACCAAGGGGGGGGGGAGGTGCACGGAGGTGACTGGGCAAAGGAAAGGGATTTTTTTTATTGTAGCAAGAAAAAACTCACCTCTGTTTAGCTCATAATTGTCGGTGGAACTGGTGGGGGGCAGGGCGGCAAATACTGCTTTTTCCCACTGCTGCTGCTCCCCCCCCCCCCCCCCCCCCCCCGCAACGTCTAGGCTGGTCCAAGCTCTATACATACCTGGGATAAACATCACAAAAATGAGGGAAAGAATTAGCCTCCCTAGTGTCATTGACTGAGCAACCTGAACCCCTTTTAGAATGGGGCGTCGTTTGTCAAATAATTATTAAGCCAATTTTAAGCATGTTTTTACCATGGTTTAGCTCAATTATATGTACAAAACAGATTTTTAATCAAAGCTGTTTTATTATTTACAAACCATTTAAACACTCTTTATATCAACATTATGATTTATAAGCCATGAAAAACATAAAGTCATTGTTTACAAATAACGGAAACTGGCAAGGTTTACAAATTCATGGTTTGCAATCCATGAAAACTGTGACACTTTTATACACTTCTATGGTTTATAATTAAACAATGAACAACGATCAACGATCAGTACAAGTTCATGGTTCATAATTTGGCAGATTTTGAAGGGATTAAGAGTCAATAATATTTACAACTTTCTAAGGTGGACCTAAAAGAACTATCAGCTTCTGGCTCTGAGTGCCAAAAAGCCTGATTGTATTTCAGGTATTGAGACCAAGGATTCCTCATAAGCACCCTTGCCTTGGTACTGTTGCTCGCAAGCCTGAACAAACCCTTAGAAAGAAATTACAGTTTTAGAGGTGGGATCGGAAAACCCAAGAAAAAGATTTTGGGGAAAAACCCACAGACTCAGGCAGGGACTGAAAACCCAATCCACGTATGGATTCGAACCCCAGTCACAGCAGTGGCAGGCGAGGAAAGTACCACTATCTAAGCGGACTCCCAAGTTTTTATTATCGTCACCGACACCACGAAGTAACACCCATCTACATACCAGTAAAAAGTAGCAATCGGAGAAAACGGCAACTAAAGTTGAACGCCTTCTAAGACAACACTTTGCGTCAAAACGACAGAGTATTTTCAGTTGGGTTTCTCGTTGTGGACACTTGATGAATTGAATTTATTAAATCTGCTGTTTTTCACCCGTTTGTGTATTAAATAAACAAGAAATAAGAGAAAAAAGATGAGTGTTAGTTCGTGAAACCGAAAAAGCTTCGAAACTGTAAATTTTCGTTTTCACGAAGTAACACTCTTCAATGTATTTAACACGAGGAAAGTGCAACTTCAGGTCAGCGCGCGCGCTCTCATACAACTTGTTACAAGAAGAGTGTTACTTCGTGAAAACGTTTCTGCTCACTTATGAGCAGAGTGCGCGCCATGCATTGCAATGGAAAATGGAACTTGAGTGTTACTTCGTGAAAACGAAAATTGTCACTTTTGCGCATAAGTTGCCATGGATACTTAGCGTAATTATTAAAGTAAAGCTCTTGAAGCTTTGAAACTTCGTGCAATGGTAGGCCTTGATGAATAATGTTTAAAAGTCCAAAAAAACTGAAAATCGAAAAAAATATGGTTTAACACGGTAGAGTGTTACTTCGCGGTGTCGGTGACGAAATGTAGCCCTTGCTTGGCCATTGTAGCGTCGGACTGTTCATTTCCAGGAAGAACAATGGTAATAATGCATGTCTTCGCATTGCCCTCCAATGCGATAGTACCTTGTTCTTGATCTTTTTTGGGGGCAAAATTTAACGTGGAGGTTAAATGACGCATGTCTTCCCATTCTAGCCATTATTTTTTGTGCGGTTTACTACCAATTGAACAGTGTCACTGCCACCTTCATGTTAACTCTCTCTAGTACATGTCCGATGGAAGTTATAACTGGGTGAGATTTGTTCCATTCATTGGCTTCGGTGCATGTTCATGTAGGTGGCGTTTGAATGAGGAAACTTGTGAAATATGAAATTTTGGACCCAGAAATTTGGGCAGGGGATGTCTTCTCCAATGAGATGATTACATACCTTCATCTTGAGCTCACAGCTCTTCTCCAACTTCAGACCCAACTGCAGGCATAAGAATTTGCAGGTCTTGACCATCTTGGCCAGTGCACCCTAGGGCATTGAGGAATGGGAAAACAGGACTCTAGTGAATAACGGTAACCCTTGCTTGGCCATTCTTTGTTCACTGTGTGATATAAAATTGGGCTCGTCTGATTTTTGAAGTTTACTTTACCCCTTGTTAAAGGGAAAATACAACATTTGCAAACGTCAAAAAATAAAACTACCAAATTATTTTGAAATACCTTGCTGTAACTTTTTCATCTAAAAGTCGCTCTCCAGTTCTAAGGAGAGTGGCGGGTGATTGGGGGGGGGGTGGAGGATACTGGGGGGGGGGTGGAGGATACTGGGGGGGGGGAGACAATTTATTTCCAAAAGGATTTGTTTATTCTATTAAGAAAACACTCACCTCTGTTTACCTCATTGGAGGTGGAACTGCTGGGAGGGGGGCCAGGGGGGCTACTATTGGCCCCCCACTATTTTCAGAGCTCACTCCCCCCTCCCCACCTCTAGGTAGATCCAAACACTCCTCTGGGTAAACAGAAACAAAAACAGTTTTACACAATGATCTTTTTCCGGGAGGGCCTACATAATTACTGCAGTTGCCATGGCATAGATTTCGGAACTGGGAGGGGGGAGGAGTGCAACATTCACCGTATTTTCAAGATTACATTCAACAGACTTATCGCTTGAAAGCTGCTCAGTTCACACCATACTTAAGAAAAGTGTTACAATCTTACAAGTTTAGTGCAACATGAAAACATGATTTTTTGAAGTTTCAAGTGAAACTAACTAGCCTGATGAGTCCAGCGATTGAAGTACTTTGTCACTTTGAATTTTTTGCCTGTTTTACATAATTTCTTTACTTCTCAGTGGTATACACACGTGTGATGGTGGGAAGTCCGGGCGGGCCATTGTCTGATTGCATCGCGGTGTCGGCATGAACAGTGTCACTGCCACCTTCATGTTAACTCTCTCTAGTACATGTCCGATGGAAGTTATAACTGGGTGAGATTTGTTCAATTCATTGGCTTCGGTGCATGTTCATGTAAGTGGCATTTGAATGAGGAACTTGTGAAATATGAAATTTTTGACCCAGAAATTTGGGCAGGGGATGTCTCAAAGCAAGATTTAAGCATTCCAGACGGTGTGTTGCTCTCTAAGGATGCACTGGGAAAATTTGGTCGTAGTTCACTGGCACGGGCTGGCTGCGCCGGCCTGGCATGCCTACCAGCCCTGGCGTGCGGCCAGCCCGTGGCATAGGAAGCAATTCCCTGTGTTCATTTCTCATCGTCATCATCCCAGTATATCCCATCGTGGCTAGCGTACGTTGTTGTACATTGTGCCATTCACAATCTTCATCGTCCATTATTTTTTGAAGAATTGAATTTTTGTCACTTTTTGTGGCCATTTTTTGGAAAGAATGCAGTATCCAGACGCCACTTTTTGGGTGTGTAACATTTCTAAGTCTATGGATGGTTAGTGCATTTTCAAGGTACATTGTATTTTCTGACTTTTCAGTATTTTCAGTACCAGATTCATTTTTTTGCAATGACTGACCTTCACTGAGATATAGGCCTATATCATACGATGAAAAAAAGTGGCGTCAGTTTGCAACATTCTTTCCCCATTTTTTTGAAGGGACACTAGGTCCTGGAACAGCGCAATTGGGCTACAAAACGCGCTTTGAACGAGATGATGTTAATCGAAAATAATATTTAAAAGTAGGATATAAACATCCACACAACTATCCTTTCAAAACTGGGCGTTTTTGTGTTATTCCTGTATTATGCGTGCGAGAAAGAATTTCGGGGTCCACTTTTGGGACTCCATAAATTCGAGCTGTTTAGATGCTAGTTGTGATTTCATTCGTAAAGTGTTGGCCTTTTGCGGACGTTGAAGAAACTTTCTTTTTTTGCATTGGTGATTGGTCACCGCGCACTGTTCCCGAGATGCACAACGTGTATATCATACACTGAAAACGACACAAACATAGTGACCATTTTAGCCGATTTTCGGCTAACTTTGACCGATTTTTAGTTAAAAAAGGAGTTTGACAGAAAACTTGACAGAATGGATTTTTTGGCAAGATATCTGGCAGAATCCTGCAAAAATGGTTATTTGACAGAAAAACAGCAAATTTGCAAAAAAAAGGGTACATTTGTTTACAATAGCTTCAATCTTTTCAAACAAACCCTTGCAAAAAAAGACAGGTTGCCCGGTCTAGGTGCTGAGGTTCACTGGGAACCAGATTTCGTTGTGACGCAACTCCATATGTTAATTGCCTGAAGTTTACGCAATTTCACATTATCTTTATGTGGCTATAGATTGTTTATAATATAATTTGAACATTAGTTAAGGCAACATTACAACATCTGCATGTGATTTAAAGTGTTTATAGTGCATTTCGAGTTATTCTGGGGAATTTGGCAGATTTTTGACAAATCTGACAGATTTTTGAAGCGCATTAGCAAATTTTGTCTGGACACGAAAAACGTATTCGTGCTCCGTCATGTCCGATGTAAACAGGCGTTTTTTTCCCGTCTTTTCTCAGGAACAGTAAGACATTAGGTTGGTTTCCTTTCAACCAGATGTTTGAAATACGCTAGGTAAACAATCCAAAACATAACATTTTTGGGTATTTTAAGGACCAGCGCCCCTTTAAAATAGCTTTCTAATAGCATAAATAGATGTAGTTCAGGCTGAAATTCGCATTGTAACTGAATATACAATGTGGCCAATGAGCAATATATGTAGTACATGTAGTTTAAAATACTCAGTGGGCCAGTATAAAATCCTGCGGGCTTGTACTAATACACTTAGTTATCTAGCCCGGTGGGCTAGCTGAAAAAAAAAGTTTAAGGTCGAGGCCTGTCAGACATTATGAAATTTCCTGTCTCATTGATTGTGGTCACTGTTATATTGTACACTTTTACATGTGAACGCCAAATTAAAAGACAAATCCGTATGGTCTGCTATGCTGGCATCAACTGACCACCAGAAGTTAACTCCAGAAAACTGGTGGTTGTGTATTTATGACATTATCTCTGGAACCACAGCGCAAGGAAGGGAGCTTTGTTTATTAAGGGGCACTGCGTCCTGAAAACCAGAATATTTTCATACTTTGGAGTGTTTGCTTATCCTATTTCAAACATTTGGTTGAAAGAACTTGACCGGCAACATAATGTCTTACCGTTCCCCCAAAAAAATACGAAAAAAAGTGGTTGTACATCTGACACGACGGAATAGACATATGTTTTTCGATACACAATGTGTATGTCACATAAAATTCCACACAACACCAAATGCACGGATGTCACGGTGTTTCTTACACTTCCGCAAAAGGTGGATACATATGAATAATTTATGAATTCATAACAACACATTATTTATATCTCACCTGATCCATGTTTTTCATGTCCTCTGTGCACTGTGCGCATATCAAATGCACTAATGTGGTTTCTTACATGTCCGCAAAAGGTGTATACATAACGGCTGGAATCGCAACTAGCCGCAACCCGTCTTTTGGGGGTTGCAAAAGTGGACCACGCATAAGGCCAAAAAAAAAAAAATATTCGGTCTCTGGTCAGACCAAAGTTTCGGAATTGATGCGGCCACGCGGCTTTTTTTTTTTTTTTCTTCAAGCTTGGATTGTACAGACAAGGTGGTCACTTTTTTGGTGTCCTTATGTACACTGGTTTCCTCCATAATTTGCCTTGGTGCTTTCAAGCATTTGCCTTGGTGCAATTTCCCATTCCTTGGTGCTCTTTGGTAAAAAAATTGAGGAGGTGCGGAAATAGAGGGCGCTGTTGGAGCATTTTGGAAAAAAAAAGATTGACGCGCGCGCTGACCAGAGACCGACTTATTTTTTTTTTTTGGCCTAACACAAGATTATTATAACAAAATGCCCATTTTTAACAGACAGTTGTGTGATGTTTACATTCTACTTTCAAATGTTTTGTAGTTTTTGTAGCCCCATTGGGCTCATTCCAGGATGTAGTTCCCTGTAATGACTCCCCGCAGAGTTCCAAAATGGTGTGTCAAACTGCCTTCTAAAGGGAATATACATCATTTGCTTTTGCTGTAATATTCAGAAATGGATGGAATTGGGGGGTTGGAAATATATAGCAAATATAGTTGCACTGACTTTTTTGAGGTTTTGGGTTCGGAAATGCTATAAAAACCAAGAAAAACAATCATTTTTCTGTAGTCTGGTTCCCTGACTCCATTTAAGAAGAAACAGAGCAGTTTACATATATTGGGGAACAGTTTACATATATCTCACCTCCCTATTTGTGCACTCGCCTTCTGTGCATTTGCAGGATTTCCTGCATCTGACGTCGAGTCTGTAGCATTTGCACATCCCTGTTTCGCAAATGCCATTGCATCTGCAAGGTCGTTGTGGCTGCAAAAAAACAAAAAAAATCCAATCCAATCCAATCATATAAAAGCATCATCAAAATAATGCCACAGTTTGTTCTGTTGTATATTTTACATTACAAATGGAAGTGCTGACTCAGTACATTTCTAAATTGCAAAATGCATGTGTGTAGTAAACCATAAAAATGAGATCATAGTTAAGCAGTTGACTCCCGTAAAAACAATTTATGCAGACAGAATGATGGCTTCACCAATTATTAACACTTTCGTTCCTGTATATGTCTTCAGAAGAAATAGAGCAGTTTACATATATTGGGGAATTGTAAGGTCAGGGAACCAGTCTAGCTGGCTTGTACCCGTTCATATGTGTGTAATCGATTGCAAACAAGTGCGATGGTCAACTGGGGCCAGTATTTGAAAAAAGGACAGATTTTCCAACGCTGATCGGCCGATTTTCTTGAAAATGACAGTATACCAGGTGCCATGATTTTACAGGATGCTTTACACTGTCATTCACTCACAGTGCAGCAAAGTATTTCAAAATGATTTGGAAGATTAATTTTTGGATGTTTGCAAATGTTGTATTTTCCCTTTAAGAGGGCCGTTTTTACTATTTTTCCTTTATCAATAATGTATGAATTCATAACAACACATTACTTATATCTCACCTCCCTATTTGTGCACTCGACTTCTGTGCATTTGCAGGATTTCCTGCATCTGACGTCGAGTCCGTAGCATTTGCACATCCCTGTTTCGCAAATGCCATTGCATCTGCAAGGTCGTTGTGGCTGCAAAAAAAAATCCAATCCAATCCAATCATATAAAAGCATCATCAAAATAATGCCACAGTTTGTTGTTGTTGCTCTCTGGTATATCCCTAATATATTGGAAAGTCAAAAGTAGTCACAAACATAGTGATACACCCTGAAACACTGGCCTGAACACAGGGGAATTCCGCACTTTTTGCAGAAAATACGAGATTTAGTGCTGCGCCCTCTTGCAAGAACTCGAATGAAAAAATAAATACAGGTCGTACATGCATGAAAATGGTACCATTAGAAAGAGCGAGAGCGCCCTCTTTTGATAACATATTTACTCTACCTCGTACATGTACTAGGTTTGGCAATTTTAAGTACGAACATTACCTCGTACATGTACAAGGTTGGCCCTTTTGTACTAACAAATATACCTCGTACATGTACGAGTTTGGCACTGAAAGAGTTAATTCCACATTATAAGTTTTGTGAACTGCAAGATGCATGTGTGTCGGCGACTTGGGGTGGAGGTGACTGGGGGAAACGACTGGGGGGGGGGGGGGGAGAGGCTACTTTTTAGGGGGGGGGCGAAGCCGACTGGGGGGGCAGAGCTGACCGAGGGGGGGGGGGGGGAGGAGGTGCACGGAGGTGACTGGGCAAAGGAAAGGGATTTTTTTTTATTGTAGCAAGAAAACACTCACCTCTGTTTAGCTCATAATTGTCGGTGGAACTGGTGGGGGGCAGGGAGGCAAATACTGCTTTTTCCCACTGCTGCTCCCCCCCCCCCTGCAACGTCTAGGCTGGTCCAAGCTCTATACATACCTGGGATAAACATCACAAAATTGAGGGAAAGAATTAGCCTCCCTAGTGTCATTGACTGAGCAACCTGAACCCCTTTTAGAATGGGGCGTCGTTTGTCAAATAATTATTAAGCCAATTTTAAGCATGTTTTTACCATGGTTTAGCTCAATTATATGTAAAGAACAGATTTTTAATCAAAGCTGTTTTATTATTTTCAAACCATTTAAACACTCTTTATATCAACATTATGATTTATAAGCCATGGAAAACATAAAGTCATTGTTTACAAATAATGGAAACTGGCAAGGTGTACAAATTCATGGTTTGCAATCCATGAAAACTGTGACACTTGTATACACTTCTATGGTTTATAATTAAACAATGAACAACGATCAACGATCAGTACAAGTTCATGGTTCATAATTTGGCAGATTTTGAAGGGATTAAGAGTCAATAATATTTACAACTTTCTAAGGTGGACCTAAAAGAACTATCAGCTTCTGGCTCTGAGTGCCAAAAAGCCTGATTGTATTTCAGGTATTGAGACCAAGGATTCCTCATAAGCACCCTTGCCTTGGTACTATTGCTCGCAAGCCTGAACAAACCCATAGAAAGAAGTCAATAAGAAATTACAGTTTTAGAGGTGGGATCGGAAAACCCCAGAAAAAGATTTTGGGGAAAAACCCACAGACTCAGGCAGGGACTGAAAACCCAATCCACGTATGGATTCGAACCCCAGTCACAGCAGTGGCAGGCGAGGAAAGTACCACTATCTAAGCGGACTCCCAAGTTTTTATTATCGTCACCGACACCACGAAGTAACACCCATCTACATACCAGTAAAAACTAGCAATCGGAGAAAACGGCAACTAAAGTTGAACGCCTTCTAAGACAACACTTTGCGTCAAAACGACAGAGTATTTTCAGTTGGGTTTCTCGTTGTGGACACTTGATGAATTGAATTTATTAAATCTGCTGTTTTTCACCCGTTTGTGTATTAAATAAACAAGAAATAAGAGAAAAAAGATGAGTGTTAGTTCGTGAAACCGAAAAGGCTGCGAAACTGTAATTTTTCGTTTTCACGAAGTAACACTCTTCAATGTATTCATTACGAGAAAAGTGCCACTTCAGGTCAGCGCGCGCGTGCCCATACAACTTATTACAGGAAGAGCGTTACTTCGTGAAAACATTTTTGCTCACTCATGAGCAGAGTGTGCGCCATGCTTTGGAATGGTAAATTGAACTTGAGTCTTACTTCGTGAAAATGAAAATTGTCACTTTTGCGCAAAAGTTGCCATGGATACTTAGCGTAATTTTTAAAGTAAAGCTCTTGAAGCTTTGAAACTTCGTGCAATGGTAGGCCTTGATGAATAATGTTTAAAAATCCAAAAAAAATGAAAATCCAAAAAAATATGGTTTCACACGGTAGAGTGTTACTTCGTGGTGTCGGTGACGAGTTTTCCTCATTTTGCCATCGAACCCCCCCCCCCCCCCCCCCTCCCCGAAAACAAACAAACAGACAATACAACGCATCACACTACTAAAAGGCACCAATCACCCTTTGATTTTTACTGAACAAAGTGAATACAAAGTAATTGATCGATATGAATGGTAAATGATGCATAATTTGCCGGTCTCGACTCAAAACCATCCAAAATATCGAGACAAAAGGGTACCGAGACAAGAGACTCTTCCAAGACCACGGCTATCGAGACCGATGTCGGTCTCGAGACGTACAACACTGATTAAAAAAGGTAAAACAATACTGCTAATCAAAATGGATTGAAAATACCCAGTAACAGGATACTAATATCAGCAAAATAGGACCAGCAAAATAATATCACCAAACACCATTGCAAACACTAGACAGCTACAGACATGAGACCATAAAAATAAGACCAGACCCAGAACCAACAAAATCGCTAAGACACATTCCAAGATGGAGACGAGGTCCAAACGCACTCGACCCACTGTGTTTGTTCCTTACAAGATTCAAGCCAAAGATTTGGTGACCAGTTCAAGCCACATACATACCTCACAACCAGTTTAGAGGCCGACTGGTGGCTTTTGGTGCTGGCCTTCACACCAACTGAAAGGGGTAACAAACATTGACAGTGTAAATTATATTTATTAATAATTTGAAAATGTGCACCAGCAGTAGATGGGGCTGTTCCGAATACTCCATCAAAATCTTTTTGGCTGTTGGAATATTCGAAGGGAAAAAAAAAATATGCAGCCAAACAAATGATTGTCTTTATTATACATGTAGTGTTCCAATATTTGTGACTCGAATTGAATCGAGCCAGATATTTGACTGGTGTTGACTTGACTCGACTACACAGTGACTTGACTCAACTCAACCTTCTTGAAGGAATGACTTAACTCAACTCGAGTCACTTGCAAGATGCATGTATGTAGTAAACCATAAAAATGGGATCATAGTTATACAGTTGACTCTCATAAAAACAATTACTCAGCGCGGACCTATCGAAAATGTTTGTTACATCGCAATTTTGTATCGAGAGGAACGTCGGTCCCATTCATCATTTGTGTACAGAAAGCAAAGTTGGGACCAAGGCTCTGTATTGGTTATAACCATAATTACGAGAGTCAACTGCATAGAATTTACTCAGATCATGCATGACACTGAGTTACATAATCTTTGATTTGTCACACACACACACACACACACACACAGTCGTTTTTTGCTATGCTTCCGAGGATTGGCTTTGTGTTTTCCTTTGTCCCTGTAATATAACACTCTCCCATAGACTAAGCACACAAACCTGCGTTCGAGGACAATAGGCACCTTCCTTCGAGGATCAATGGCCCCTTTGTGCTCCTTTTGTTGTCTGTCCTCAGGCGTAATGCCATGCAGGAACACCCACCCCCAAGTTTACGTTACATACCAAGTGTGGACTTTCCATTGCTTTCGTGTAGTTAAGAAAAACCAGTGAAAAAACTCATTTTTCTCAAACTGTGAAAACTCTTTCAACCCAATTTTTTTTCTATGATTCCCTTTAGTGTTTCTCTTCATTCTGCTACAGGTAAACCTAACCCCAAAATGCCTCTAAACCTGTTTTCCAGAAATGAGGAAACACTGTGTGGACTTGCCCAAGTCCGCACAGTGTCTCCTCTACCTGGTTTATGTGGACATCTTTTGTTCGGAAGTCCACACAGTGAATGTAATGCCTGTACACCACACCTTAAGTCAGTGTTCATTTATCAAAGAGGGGATACTTTTAGAAGCGTTTCTTAAAGTCCTATTGGGCAATTAATTCCACACAAGTGCGAAATGAGGGTCAACATTTCAAAATGTTTTGGTTTTTTTTCAAATATATCTTTCCCAAAATTAAAAGGGTATATTCTGAAGTTTGAAGAAATGAAAAAAAGAAGAAGTTTTAGCAGATTATTTTGTAAGTTGCAGCACTCTAAGTTGACACTGTTCATGCGCTGATCCAGAGGAGTGGGGGGGGGGATAAAAAAAAACCCAGCTTGTCCACAGAAATTCATAAAAAAATAATGCTACCCCCCATGCTCTGACACCCAAAAACAATTTACCGGTATGAAAACTCCTGTGGAAATAATAGGGACAGATCCAAGGAAGAACTGTACGTAATTTACTCTGTCGTCCCTTTGCAATGCAAGATACAGGATTTAGGCCATCAGCCTTGGTCCAAAATTTTGGCCACCGGTATCAAATGAGGGGAATAATCGTCATGGCGATTTTTGGCAAGGTATACACCTCCAGAGTTTGAAAATATGTGATAGCATTGCAGCGGTGGCAGCTTTTTGGGTGTTATCACCCTTTTTTTCAAAATGTCCATCAAAATGCTTGTTACCACTCCAGGGGCGGTATGCCTTGCGCATGCGTACTATGGTCATTTATGCACTGATTTGATGACGACCAAACCCATGCAGGTTGATGGGCTAATTTTTTTTGGGGGGGGGGCAAAAAACGAGGCTTCCACAATCCATATTGTAAAGTGCATCAGACAGTCTGGGGGAAAAAAACGTTTGTACGTGACTTGCAGGAGATAAGGCACACTGGCCCATAATAGGCATGCAGTCTTAAAAACACACGCACAGTACGCTCTGAATAGCCAGTCATCGTCACATCCTCACAGCCAGGGGTTAATACGCGCACTGCGTACCCATGGAGCCAAGGCCCGGTAATCAGTGTTTCCTGCTTTACTCAGGTTGCCAAATTTCCAGTGCGGGGGACACTGGCGGGGGATGGGGGGAAGGCGACTTGGGGGACAATTTATTTCCAAAAGAATTTGTTTATTCTACTAAAAAAACCTCACCGCTGTTTACCTCATTGGGGGTGCATGGAACCGGTGGGAGGGGGCCAGGGGGGCTACTATTGGCCCCCACTGATGCTATAGTATCTCATCTAGGTAAACATAAAAAAAAAAAATTAGTTTAATACAATGATCTCTTTCCGGGAAGGCCTACATAATTACTGCAGTTGCCATGGCATGGATTTTGGAACTGGGAGGGGGGAGGAGTGCAACATTCACCGTATTTTCAAGGTTGCATTTGGCAAACTATCTTTGCTAACTTTATTGTGACGAGAGTTAAAAAGCTGGAAAGATTTCCATATACGAAGTTCACTCAACACTCTGTGTACAAACCCTATGAGAGTGGACTGAAAAATTCTAAGTGTTTTCTAAGAAAATGCTTGCACTTTCTCACTGCTCAAATTGACTTTGATGACATGAAATTGCTATCTGGGGGCTTGTTAGTCAATACAGAGGAAAATTAGTGAACTTCGCATATGGTAATCTTGCCAAAAAGCGGATTCAAAAATCATATTATAATTTATTTACTTATAAAGATAGCTTATGTTGATAGGTTGGGAGAAAAACTAATTAAAACAAATTACCAACAGTTTGATACTTAAGGCCAAAAAAAAGAATAGTTCTGCTTCCAGTTACCCGACCGACCCTATTTTTAGGCTGCGACCCTAAACATTTTATCGCCAATTCAAAAAAAAAAAAAAAAAAAAAAAGATTGAATAAATAAAAATAAAAACCTTATGTCTTGTCTGTCTTTACAAAATACCTCTCAACAACCCTTTTGCATCAAAAAATGCTTGTATTTATTGTTTTCTTACTTACATTCGCTATTTTTTCAAAAGAAACTCCGTTATTTTTACAAATTCGCTGCGCGATTCAACTACTTCGCAATTCGATGTCTATAATCACATGCGTAATAAGCGCAATGCGGCGACGACTGGTTCCCGCCGCGCCGCGCAGGAGCCAATTATGAAAATGCGGTAACTAGTCTGTGCACGGCTATGCGATGTTAGCGCTAGCATGGCTATGCAGGCGCAGGCACGTGCTCTGTCAACTGGTCGAAATCGACATCGTAAAAATGCTGAGAAAGACATCGTAAAAATGCCAAGAAAACACCGATGGAGAAAGAACATTTTTGCAAGTTAATTCACAGATTTGATCTAGCTTGTCTGTGTATGTATTTTCCGTGTTCAAGAGTTCATTTTGAGATCGCACTAATCGTATTTGGAGTGATACAATGCAGCGTGTTTCCTGAAATGTTCGACCCGTTGGCCGCGGGCCACACATGTACAAATGTACATGTACAGTGCATCACACACTTCGGAGTTTTGGCCAGCTCCCGTTCTTGACTAGCGTTGTGCCTATGGTGCGAACGACCTGAATTTCCCACAATTTTTTTTACGAATTATCGAACTTAAATATATTGACAATAATTAAGGTAGGTTTTATTCACTTTTTGTGGCCATTTTGTGTATAGCTTTCGTAGTGCAATAGAAATAGTTCAGGCTAAAACTTCGCATATAATTGAATACCCCATTCAATCTGCATAAAAAAAATTGGCAAAAAAAAAAAAATTCCGACCGACCGACCCTATTTTTGAAAGACATGTAATCGGAAGCAGAACTATTTTTTTTTTTGGCCTAAAATGTCTTTTGCTATTTAAAGTCTCCGGTTTCTGGTATGCGCGCGCGTTGCCGTAGCCATGCGCGTCGGCAAAATGAAAAAGTTTTTTTTCAATGAAAGATGGTGTCTCAAAACTGCCAAACTCACTGGTTTGACAGGAATCCTGCTGCTGCACAATTTTAATGTGTTTTTAGATGGGGTTATGGTCGAGAATAAGCTTTATTTTGTATTATTAAATTTTGCACTAAATTTAGTTGGGCATCATTTGCAGTCATCAGCCGACATTTGAAGCAAAATAAAACAGGTAAAAAAAAAGAAGCCGCGTCGCCGCACCACTTTTTGGGCAAGCTCCATACCAGAAACGGAGACTTTTTTTTTTGCCTTAATATTGGCAGTCACTGTTAAATTGTATATTTGTACATGTGAAACCCCCCCCCCCCAAAAAAAAAACTCTCTATGCATGGTCTTCTTTGCTGGCATAAACTGACCACCGGATTGAGAAGGTACTTCCAGAAATCTGGTGGTTGTTTATATAATCATTATCTGTTGGAACCACTGAGCAAGGAAGAGAGGCAATGTGTCCTGAAATCCACAAAAAAAAGGTCATGTTTCGGAGCGTTTACTAATCCTATTTCAAACATCTGGTTGAAAGTACTTGAAACCAACTTAATGTCTTATCATTCCAGAGAAAATACCAAAAAAACTGGTTGTTTATACATCGGACACAACGGAGTACTTAGACATACGTTTTATGATACACATTGTGTATGTCACATAAAATTGCACCAATGCACTAAAATCACCAATGCACTAATGTGGTTCCTTACACGTCCGCAAAAAAATCACAACTAGCCACAGCCCATCTTTTGGGGGTCGCAAAAGTGGACCTCGAATTCGTTCTCCCACGCATAACACAAGATTATTATAACAAAACGCCCAGATTTTTAATAGATAGCTGTGTGATGTTTATATTGTACTTTCAAATGTTTTGTAGTTTTTGTAGCCCAATTGGGCTCATTCCAGGATGTAGTTCCCTGTAATGACTCCCCGCAGAGGTCCAAAATGGTGTGTGAAACCGGTAGCTTTTTATGAGGGCCGTTTTCACTATTTTGCCTTATGAATTATTTATGAATTTATAACAACACATTATTTATTATTCTGGTTTATTCTTAAAAAGCAAAATATATTGTACACAACAGCATAAATGCTGACAATTACAATATTTACAAAATCAGGCTAAAAATTCATATCGTCAGAGTTACAGTAAAATTTGAAAAGGGAGAATATTTATATCTTATATCTCACCTTATTTGTTGACACACCCTGAGCATTTACAGGAGGAGATGCAAGCCAGGTTGTTTCGCCTG